CAGGAATTTAGCTATTATAAAAGCTAATATAGTAGTATTTCATATATTCAAATTTCGATATTCGAATTTAGGGCCTTTAAAGAAGCTATAAATATTAATATAAGCTTCTTTATATATATATTAAAAGAGCTAGTTACTATAGAAGTAGTCTTGAGCTAGTTCCTTTAGTATAGTAGGAAAAGCTCATATTAGTATCTCTTATAAAAGCTTTATATATTAGTAAATATCGAGAAAAATAGTAAGTTTATAGTTAAAATTATTATTAGATCTATTATACTTTTATTCTTTAGTATAGATCTTAGTAACTTCCCTAATAAGTCTTATAATTAAAGGGAATTAGGAGTTATTCGGATATGGTTATAGTAATAGTAATAGGACTAGTAGAAATATATTATTTATTTCTAGAGCTTTTATATTAGTATATAAATCTGGTAAAGATATAAGATATAATAATAGAGGAAGTAATAGAGAAAGTAATAGTATAGGAATATTAAAGATAATAGGTTCTAGATACTTATTTTTTATAAGGGTAATAAAGCCTAATAGGATTAGTTCTTTAATAAGGTCTAGTCTAGCCACTAATATATTCTTATTTAATTATATATATTATATATTTTTCTTTATAATAGTATATAAAATATTTATAATAGTATTAGTATTACTATTTTATTATATAAATATACCGCTATATTAAAGAGTCTTATATAGATATAATATCTCCGGGAGTTCAAATTTATTAAAGTTCCCTTAATAAGTGAAATTCTTGAAGTTATATCTAAATAGCTCCCAAAGATTATTATTAATTATTTTATAGAGAATATATTAAAATAGCTTAGTATCTAAGAACTTAGTTATCTCGTCTACTTTAATAGAATTTAGATTAATTTCATATTTCTACTTTCTTACTAATTTCTTATAATTATTATTATATATAAAGTAATTAGATTAGATAAATCTAATAAAGAAATTATCTATTATAGTATATTCTGCTATTATATATTCTATAGGCTCGTGCCTAGTTTAAGATATAGTAGTTTATAAGAAGAGTAGATTTATAAAAAGGTAGTTTATAAAATAGGTAATTTATAGAAAGTATTATATTTAAGGTAAAAATTTCGTCTATAACAAGAAATTTAGGAAGTGAAATTTAAGGAGAGAAATACTAAGGAAGTAAAATATTAAGATTCCGGGAGGACTTAATAATTCTAAAGCTTAAGAGCTCCAGGAATTTAAAAGAAAGTAGTTTTTAAAAGAGTTTTATAGGAATTAAATAGAAATGAAATAGGATAGTTAAATAGCTAATTATTTTAGTATTTAGTAAGATTAAGTGCCCTTCCTACCTATATAACCAAATTATAGGTAATAGGACTAATAAATATTTCTTTCTTTAATATAGTATAATTGGACCTTAGTAAGATTAAGTGTCTTTCCTACCTATATAACCGAATTATAGGTAATAGAATTAATAGTTATTCCCTCTTTAACTAGAATAATAGCTTTGCCCCTAAATAACCGAATCTTATATAAGTATAGCTTAATTTTTCCTGATCTATATATATAAACTAATTAGTATTAGTTTACTAGTAATATATAATACTATTATATAGGTATGAAAGTACTATTTATATAAGGTTAGTAAAGTTATATTTAGAAGTAGAAATTATAGTATTATAATATTAATATGTAATCCCTAAATCTACTAAGCCTAAAAGGGTCTAGTTTACTAGTCGAGTTACTAATGGGACACGAGGTCATATAACTATATCCCGTATCCTATATCCTATTACTCATGTCTTATTACTTATATCCTATTACTTATATCCCGTATTCTATATCCCGTAACTATATACGTGATTTCTAAAGAAATAGCTATACTAATAAAAGTATTTATAAAAATAATTAAATATAAGAATTTCTTTATTAGCTTTATAAATCTCAATTCTCTAATAATATTTTTAATTTACTATTAAATATATTTATTAAATGCCTTTATATTAGTTTCCGAGAATTTAATAATTTAAATAGTAATTAATAAATTATATAAAGCTTCTAGTTAATAGACTAATATAACATATATTTCTTTAATATATTAGATAATATATATTTCTTTAGTATATTAGATAATATATTAATTCTTAATAAAGAGATTTTAATAAATAATATCCTTATTATTTATAATAATAATATTTTTTATAGAAATAATTTAAAGGTTTTTATATTAGTATTTCCATATAAAAATAATTCTAGTAAATATTTATATAAATAATACTTTTATTAAACTTAAGATTATAATTAAAAATAAGGCATTTATATTTCTTAATTAAGAATTTAGTTTTTTAAAGCTTTAATTACTTTGCCTTTATAAAATTATTAGTTCTAATAAATAAAATATTATTAGTTTAAAAGCTAATAATTCTAAAAAGTTATTTATTATAAAGGAAATAAGAATTATAAATTAACTATTCTATAAAAAGCTTATTAATATAATAGAAATAATAAGTTTTAAACTAGTAATTCTCAGTTTCTAGTATATTATATAATAGTTTTATAATCTTTAAAATAGAATTATTCTTTAGATTTAATTCTTTAATAAGCTTATAAAATGAGTTAATATAAAAATTATAATTAAATAAAGTTATTATATAAATACAATTCTATAATAATAATAATAATAATAATAATAATAATAATAATAATAATAATAATAATAATAATAATAATAATAATAATAATAATAATAATAATAATATAATATTAATAATAATAATAATAATAATAATAATAATAATAATAATAATAATAATAATAATAATAATAATAATAATAATAATAATAATAATAATAATAATAATAATAATAATAATAATAATAATATAAAAATAAGACTTTAGAACTAAAAATAATCTTATATATATTTTAATAAAAATAATAATATAGTATTAGAATTTAAAGTTTTCTTATAAGTACTTATTTATTTTAGGGCTAAAAGAAGTTCCTATAATTATTTTTAATTATTTGGCTATTCTAGCTTATAATTACTAAACTATACTAGAATTAGAGTTTTATAATTTAATTCGAATTATTAAAATAAAAGTAAAACTAATACTTATTATATAAAAAGTAATTTCTTATTATTAAAGAAAAATAAGCTCTAAACTTTATTATAGGCTTATTTAGAAATAAGCTTAATACTAATTATATTATATAAATTAAGTTAAAAATTTGGGCTTAATTAAATTTTAGTATTATAAATATAAATAATATTTCTATTTCTATTATATAAATAAGTATTAGATTTATATAAGCTTTATAAGAAAAAAGTAATAAGCTATTATTAATTCTAGTTATATATAGCTATAAAATATAATTTATAATTTATAATAATTGAAATCTTTATAAAAGAATAAACCCAATTTTATTATATCTGAAATATTTAAATTAATTTTATTTTTTAATAAGTATTATATGATTTATTTTATTTTTTTAAACTATTTAAGTTTATTTAAAATTATTAGCTTACTTTTCTTAGTAATTGCCTTACTAGTTATTTCTTCTTTATTACTTATTTCTAGAATATTATAATAAATTAAAGAAGTTTTAATATAATTGCTTTTAAGAATTAGATCTTATAACTCTTTTATTAAGAAATAAAATAATAAGTTTATATTTTTAGAATAATTTGAATTATTATTATTCTAATTATAATCTTAACTTATTAGTATTAGATTATAAGAACTATAAATTCAAGATTAGTATATATATTTCTTTATCTTATATATTTTATAGCTTGCCAAAAAAAATTATTAAATTTTATTATAAGTAAAACTTTTAAATATTCAATATTATATCGGATTAATTTATATAAACTCAAATAAATAAAGAGAAGTTTATAAAGAATAAATTATAGTAATTTAATTATTATTAACTAATATTTGAATAAGAAGGCAACTAGTAAAATTATAAAGCTATATTTTAGCCCAAATAATAGAATTCTTTTATTAGAAGTGTTTTATTAAATAAGAAATCAAATATCTAAAGATATTTAAGAAAATATAAAGCTACTAATAATAAATAAATTAGATAGCTAAGAATAGTAACTAGAGGCAAAAGTAAGAAATAGTAGCCGGATATAGAAATAAGAGGTAAAGACTAGTACTAATAATTAGGTAATGAATTTGATTTACTAATATTAATAATTTAGTAATTCGTAATACAAAAGTATAAATAAAGTAATTAATTAATTAAACTTTTTTATAAATACTAACTTTTAGTTAAAAGTAAGATTTAATTAAAGATATAATATATAGCTTAAGATAAATTAAAGGCTTTTATTTAGATATAGAGAAAGATACTATATATTATATTTTTCTTAATTACTTTAGATATTTTATATTATTTCCTATTATTAAATATAATTTTAATCTATAATTTTTATAAAGAATAAGTTGCTTTCTTAATTAGAGGAACTAGTAGCTTAGAAAACTGTTTTTTATATAAGTTCTGTATTATATTTAATATATAGCAGCTATATATTTCAATTCGTGAATTAAAGAACTTAATATTAAAATAATAGAAATATATTATACTTTAGTAATACTAATATATTAAGAATTAAATAAGAGCCAAAAAGATTATTTTTATTTCAAGTAATATAATAAAGGAATACTTTGGTATTATTACTAAAACTTTTTATAAAATTAAGAAAGAAGTTATAATAATTATTTATATAGCTGCGAATATTAGCTTTCGAGCTCTTCTATAAAAAGTTATTTTAGATAACTACTTACTTGTACTTCAATTAGTGGCTTGGGCTATTAAAATAACTCGACTTTAGTATTTTATTCAAGTTTCTAGTATATATGCGAACTCTTTCCTCTCTAATAAAGATATATTATTTGTCTAGCCCTAATAATGCGAAAGGAAAGCTAGAGAAGATTCTATAGACCGGTATAACGAGGCATTTATAACGCTTTCCTTGGGCCTATATATATTCTAAGTAATTAATAGAGCAATTAATAATATTATGGTTTCCCAGCCTGCCAATTCTACTCTTGCGACCTACTAGCATCGGACCTGCTATTACTCAATCCTATAAAATATACGGCCCGCAAGGATTATGCCCTATCTCTATACTCTATATCCGCTTAATGCAGCCAATAGAAGGAAAGAGAATCCGGTACGCACCAACCTATAGTAGTAATATCCTTAATAAGATTCGGCTGGATTTAGTTGTGAACATTTTGCTTCAATACGCTTATTTAGGTAGTTATGGGGTAATTCATGCGTCTTCGTCCTATTATATCCCCAAGACATTAGAGTGAATACTGGAACAGCCGTTCAAGTACTTCCCCGGCTTACTGGGCTACAAGGATGGTAATACCAATCTTCGTTTAGGACCAGAGAGTAGAATAGTATAAAGAAGCAGAATTCTACCAGATTAGATCTCGGGCATGGCAATTTTGTGCTCCATTATTACGCCGACTGGGAAGTCTTAACGGACCCTTGACATTTGGCTTGAATGACCACGATATCGATCGGTTCGCTAAACTCAGGATAAGGTATATCTTCAAAGAAACTTTTGGAGAAGGACTTCTTATGCAAAAGGCGGGGGGATCGGTCAGCGGCCACTGGCTTCGGCCAGGCTATAATGATCCATGCTAGTACTTGATGGAGGATGTCTTTCCCATGAACCTAGTGTACGGGATGATTTCTTAAGTAAAGTCAAATCGAGTTTCTGTCAGATTACTTGTCTAAGCATGCAACCGTCAATGCTGCAACCACAGCTATCCATGTCGTTATTGCGACTGCTCCCCTGTTTGCGAAGCCCCTTTCACTTTGGACCTTTTCACAATGCATGTAAAATGCAACATTCTTCAAATTAGACATCGACTCAAGTGTTCGGTTGAAATACTTACTGCACCAACTTCTCACAATAATTCCTTTCCTCTCACTGAGAGTATACGGCATCTCCATCGTTGTCACATTAACCCCATTTGCAGTTTTGCTCCCACTAAACAATATATTCATCACCTGTGTACTCTGATAAACTCTCAAGTTCAAGCGAGGATTACTCAACTTTGCTGCAAGAAACTCGCCTCTGAAGAGCTCCTCGTCTGATCATCTGGATTCACAGCGAAAGGAGTATATTGTGAACCGTTCATACTCCTCCACTGAAACCGTCTGAAATTGAGAATTCTGCAGCCGAAAAGGCTTCCCGTTCGTAGGAAGAGATAAGTTGATGTCACAACTCGAACACGACAACCTCATTTACACCTACAGCAGTAGCAATTTAAAAGGTGGGTCTTTAGATAGAAGGGATGAGCGATGTTACGCAGTATTTGGTTTGCCAGCAAGTGTTGAAGTTCAAGCAAGCTACTGCCATACACAGAATCAGACCACGACTACCCAACCTGGCCAACAAAGCCAAACCCATCACTACCCAAAACATCCCACACCTCCAAAACTATAATACCGGTAAATCGACATTTCCGATATATTTAAAGCGCTAAATAAAAGAAACTAAAAAAAAAACACTACTCGTCGTGGCGATAACAATTAAGGATAACAAATGCCAAGTAACTGATGACGCTGCGCTCATTAAAGAAACAGGCGAAGGCGGAGAGATAGAGGATGTATTACTCCTACCCTCCGTTCTCTCCGCAAATCTCATCTCATTATTACCGAAATCGAAAACCGCCACCACATTCTTAAGAAAAGTGTCGCCGAGAATAACGCCCGTCAATCCATAGAGCTGGACACCCTCATTCGACACCACAGCCGAAACACAAGTCCCATCACCCACACGATACACCAGATCCATACCATTGTGAAAGAAAGTTTGGCCCCCTATAGTAAAGCCTAGGTTTGGCGCTCGTGCATTACAGTCGATGGTATATGTAATGGGACTAGTTTCCATATTCCACTGTCCAGGCGGCTCGAACAAATCATTAATACCGCTCGCGGTCTCTGGATCGACGTAGTTAAACCAGTTTCCTGTATCGACGACAGCGAGTGCGGTGGTAGAGTTCGTGGTTGTGTTGTGTGGGTTTGAGGCAGGACTGAATATTATGCCGGAGATGTTTATAGCCCACCATGAGCGGGAATTTGCAATACCGCCGGTGATTTCTGTGGGTAGGGGTGCGATTTCTACGGGGACGGTGGCGAATTTGGGGTTATAGGATACCGGGGGGAGGCCTCCGAGGGTGAGATATCCGCCTGGACCGGTGGTGGCATTGAAAGGTGTTCTCTCGAGCGCAATACTGAAGTACGCCTCCTCCACCAAGCCTTCCTGAGCCATGCTATTGAACAAGGGATTGTACGTGCTGGCGTTGACAGAGTATGTCGTATTGTCGGCATTGACTATTGAGCCGTTGTGGCTCGACGTCATGGATGGATACCCGAAACCTACTATCCCGGTGTAAACGCCGTCTCCAAAATTCGAGGATGTGTTGACGACGCCGATATGTTGACTTGTGACTGTTATTCCTCCGAGCGTCACGTCCTCCAGCCCAAAGAGCCCGCTGACCCTACCCGCTCCGAGTAGTTCGCCGAAGTACATATCGGAAATTTCGTGGAAGGTGGTGCTGGGTGTGTAGGTCTGTGATCCATAGGTACATGCTTCTTGAGGAAGAGTCGCATTGCTGGTATCGTTGATGCAGACCCAGTTGGGGCCGAGAACCCATATGTCGCTGCTCCCGGTGTCGACCAAGACTGAGAGGGTTTGGTTGCCGAATGTTACTTCCGTCTGGAACGTTAGCTCGTATCCCGTATGCCATGATGTGAGCTGAGTGCTGTAAGATGGGAGTTGCGTTGTGTTGAAAGATGCTTTTCGTTGAAGGTGGAGAGTACGTGGGTGGGACAGCTCCGATGCCTTAATTGCACATGTAGATATACAAAGGGAAATGAAAGGGAAAATAGACGAGTGCATGGTGAATAGAAGCAGACGATAAATTTCTAGAGTGGCTCTCTCAAAGACGGATTTCGTGGAGAGGCTTAGAGTGACTACTTATACTTTTGCCGCTACAACCGGCTGACATTGTTACATCTTCCTTGGCCGATGATCCTTGTATTCCGTGATGACGAGGCTCAGCGTAGACAAAGTGTAGCAGATCATGCCAAATCTATTTTCGTTCTAGAGAGTGTCGAGCCAGTAAGTGTATCTAGATCCAAGACAAGGCTATTTGACTCGTGCAAGATTTACGAGGATCAGCCGCCCCATTCTTGTTTAGAAGGGGAGCATTACGGCAGCTTCCTCGGGTTTACATGGGATACGTGGACTAGGCAGTTTGTGCCAAAGGAGGGGATGGTAAGCGAGGAGGAAATTCTTGTACACGGGAAGCTGCATGATTACGGGATATAATATACGAGAGCTAGCGAAAACTTACCATTTCTACTTTGGGGGCTGGGGCTCTTTCACCGCTGTGGGCAGGCTTGGCGATGATCCTGGAACGGTTGGAACGATCCAGGGCAAAGTACCTTACATAGTAAATTTGTATAGGAGGTACTTCCTAATTAAACGAGCCTCACGAAAACTCAAAATACTTCTTTTTGCCGCATCGAGATAAGCTTAAATCTAAATTTCCTATATATAATATAAATAGAAAGCTAGGTTCAAATAGAGTAATTACTTAACTAAAAGTTTTTTTATACGATTAGTAGTTATAAAGTTATTTATAAGTCTAAGTGGAAGTACGCTATAAGCTCCCTATAATTATAGGGCAGTTTAAGGCCTAAGGTACAATCTCGCTTAGGAACGATCCGGATCGTTCCAGGATCATCGCCAAGCCTCAGATATCTACTTCGTCTTTGAGAATAAACAGCATTGCTACCTTCCCCCTTAGGTCGCTGCCGCCGGGGAATATGCCACACCTTCGTTGACAAGGCGCAGGGGCAACGCCATCATGCCTTGCCAATCTGCAGGCACTTGTGCGGCAATAGCTCTGACCTCACGCGGGCCAGTGTTCCCGACAAGCCAGAAGGGCTTGAGGACCACGACCAGTGCAAAGTAGTGGGCCATTATCACGAGTGCCCGTGGCTTGGCCTCGCCCACAAGCTCAATGAAGCGCTGGTCGACAAGCACGGGGAAGAGCATCAACCGGCGTCCTATCGGGCCCAGCGGATCGCCCTTCTGCACCGAGTGCCAAATGCCACCAATGTAGCTAAGAGTTGACTCGTACGCCCGTCGAACCCCATCGTCCCACTGTCCCGGTTCGTTCTCGCGGCACCCATCCACACTAGTACCAGCTAGAAGGAGGTGCTGCAGGCCCTCGCGCTTGTCGGTGCCTTCGCGCTCGTCGTGATCCCACACCACAGGGGTGGCTCGGATGAGCCTGGCAGTCTGAGTGGAGCTGTCATCGCCAACCAGATCCCAGGCGGTGCGAAAGATTTGCGCGTGACTTTTTGTTATCCTAAGCCACTCTAGGGGCGGTAGGTAAGGATCCAGGGGGCGCTCCGAGAGCACGACAAAAGCAATGAGCCGAATGATGTTGGCGGTCATGATTACCATATCTACATTGTCGCGCGAGAGCTGTGCTAGCTCCTGGTGGTGATGCTGGAAAACTAGCTGCAGATAGAGCTGGTGAAGGTCGCGTGCCGTGGCCACAGCCGTAGGTGAGGGGATGGAAGGGTCTGCGCCTCCTGTCGTCTTGGTCTGGTGAAGGGTGGCAATTGCGTAGACACTGTACAGCAGGGAGTCTGACTTAAGCGCGGCACGGGGGATCGCCTTGACAAACAGGTCGAAAGAAGTGTTCTTGTCAAAGGCGATCGACGGGCCAGTCTCCGTAATATAGAAATGCATTAGCTCCAGCTCCAGCATCCGCCGTCGCCTCGACTCTGAGGGTTCGCTGGGGCTATGCCGGGGAGACTGCTCTTGAGTATCAGTACAATTTGCGTTCCATAACCTAGAAGAGTCCCCGTCTCTGGATTTCTGCTGGGGTAGAGTGGAGGCCGGATGCTCGTCTGCCTCTGCGAGACTTTGGGGCGGTTCGATAGCAGTATTGGGTCCAGACTTGGTGCGGCTCTCGGTCGCGGGATCATAACGATCGTATATGCAGCATACGCCATGTCGCTCACAGTTGCGGCAAATGGGCTTCGCTTCGTTGCACTATAAAGAAGGAATCTGTTAATACCAGGATTGGTTGTTTTCGCCAGAGTCCGATGGCGAGTAAGGAATCTGAAGAGCTGGAAGTGCGCCTTACCTTGACCCTACGTGACCTGCACCTCTGGCAGCCTGTTCGAGATTTCTTATGGTGCACTCTCGAGTTGCCCACCCGGATAAGGCCCTCTGCATTCAGACCATCCACGAAGACGGGCATGATGTTGGACATCCCGCTCAAGTGCGATCCACTCGTGGAGTATCTGTTGGCATGCGAGAGTGAATCTCTGAACGAGGTACGAGGTGGCTTAATTGCGTTTTGGACGCCTCCGAACGAGGTACGAGGTGGGTTAACTCCTACACCGAAGATCACTGAGGGTCTCTGCTCCTGGTTCTGACCAATAAAATTCGCTGCTGCAGCTTACCCGCTGGTCTTACATGGTGTAGGAGTTAACCCAACTAGGTAAACACGGCGCAGCAGATGTCAGCCCAATTCCTCGCTTAAACCTAATGTCGACCTCGTTTTAGCAACTGCCGAGCCCTATTCCTGTTTCGGCTGAACGAAGTGCTGCAGCGAGCAGGAGACCTAATTGGGAAAGGGGCAGTTTGAGTAGACCCTATTTTAGGGAGCCTACTCGGCTGTTCCCCCCTGCTTAATCGCGACCGTTAGAGTCTCTTAAAATTCGGAGCACTTGGGGGAAGGTTCCATGAAGAAAGAATATGGCTCCAATTTTTGAAGACATTCAGAGAGGAAGATAATGCAGTCCGGGAGTTACGCTGTGCGAAGAGGGTGTACTGAGGCCATTAGCCGGCTAGCGGACAAAACCGAGAAGCGAAAAGTGATTTTCTGATTTTCTGATTTTCGCGCCCACACCCCCCCACCACACCTTACTAAAAAAAAAAGTACAGTATATACGCCTTATCCTCGACTACTTCTAACCCCCCCTTAGCTTGTATGGTCCGTAAGGCAAATCCTATAAATTACGAGATTATTGCGATATATTTCTTAGTAATATAAATACTAAATTACTCGAGTAATAGTACTTTTATATAATTTTATTAATTAATTACTAAAAAAAAAGTAATTAGCCGGCTTCTCAATTAGTTTAATAGTTTAATTTTCTTATTTCTAACCTTGGGAATATTGAGGAAGTTATTAGACCCTATTAATTACATTATCCTAGAAGGGCTTATAGCCTATAGTTACCTGATTATAGTAATTTGCAATAAATACTTAATTTTATATTATATTATCCGGCCCAATTTTGGTACGATTTTACATAGTAGTATAGGTTCTCACTTCGTTAATTAGACAAGCCAGCAACCTTACTATTATTGTATTATCCAAGCCGAAACTCACGTATGGATGCTATATCCTCTAATTAGGAATTCTGCCTTGGGGAGGGGGGATATACGGGGCGCCAGTACGAAAATCAAAAAATCAGAAAATCACTTTTCGCTCCTCGGATTTGTCCGCTAGCTAGCTGTGGGCCTCAGTATCTAGCGGGGTTGGAAAAGGCCCTTTAATGCCGTGTTTACAAGCGCTAAAATAGTAGACAGTGAAATAGAGCAGCCGCAATTTTAATACCGCCACAAAAATAACGATTAATAACTGCCGCAGTCTAGTCATTAATAACCAACCCCACAACTACTCCTCTTTCCACTCCATTCGACCTCGGCTAGGCATTTGAGCAAGGGGTAATGGGAAACAAGGTGTATCTTTGCCTGGCCCCGAAAAAGGCAATTGCGGCTGGAGCGCTAGTGTCAATCTGCTTGATACACCTTCCACTTCAAACCACAACCTCTCTTCCTTCTTCCCCTTCAACTTCACATAGTGAGCTGAGTAAGGGGTAATGGAAACCGAGGTGTGGTGCTGGCTTTGTTTCGCCCTCATAGAAAGAAGTTGCGACTGGCAGCGATTAGCTTGACATACCTTCTGCTTCAACTCCCCACCTTTCCACCTTCCTCTTCCTTCAACTTCTGAGATACACCGGCTTCCAGTTATCCCTTGGTCGATTTTTGATGCGTACAATCGACAGAAGCGGATGCGAAGGTGAGAAGGACAGAGTACCCTGGTCACAACCTCTTTGCCCAACCTCAACCGCGTCGATCCCACCACCTCACTATCTTCCGAGATCAAACCTCACCCACCGCATGCATGCTTTGCATCTCAGCAGCCACTGAATGGCTCATCAGGTGCGCAAGGTTCACAATGACTATACTGAGTTTCCTACCTGCAGCTGCCGCTGACAAAGAGCACGGTGAAGGCGGCAGCACCCACATTCCGATTCCACTGCTGTGATCAGTTGTCCAGAGATCCGCCTCCGTGCCACTATCCTTTACGACCTTTCCTACGGCTTTGAGATGCCTAAGCAAGCACATTTCGAGGGAAACGCCGTGAGGAAACAACTTTGGAAAATTCAACAAAGGATTCAATTCAACTTCACCGATGTAGATTTCGCAACAGACTTGCAGATGGCATATTGAGCAAACATTGGGCAGGCCTGCCCACCCTTTCTGCCTTGTACTTCATGCTTACAATACTGACATCTCTTTGGTGCCAGAATCATCGTTCCGAACTCGAGATACTTACGATACACTTTTCCATCGCTGTCCTGCGGCTCGTGAACATCAAAGCTTTAGGCCGCTTGGCACTTTGTGTTGGAAAACAAGTGTCGTCTTCTTCGTTTCTTTACCCGTGGTATTAGAGTGGGTACCCCTCTTTTCGAATACCTTGGGCTGTTCGTGGGTATCAGATCCTTTTGATAAGTGACAATTCGACCAGAGAGTACAAGCAGTGGTTGGGTCATTGAGAGCCATGAATAGGACCTCGACCGCAGTACAGTGTAGCTCGTGGGAGTACTCCTCAATCGCTCGGTCGGATTTGCGACGTTAGAGGGGAATCATCAAGTGAGGAGATGATCCGTTCCTTGTTCTGGATCCTTCGGTACTTTGCTTTGAGTTCTGAGGCGAGTAAACTGCCCTTCCTGGGGTCCATGTCGGTGGTTCTATACCACTCGCGGTGAGAGGGAGATAGACAAATGAGTCAAATGAGTCAAACCGTTGTTTTCAGCTATTCTGTCGAGGATCGGAGAACTTTGACAGCTCACCTGAGTAACAGTACAACCGTACGCAACTTAAGGCTGAGTGCTTATTTGGGCGGTAATGCCGCGTTATACGAAGTACAAGCATGACGATCATTGCGCTCCAGGAGGCGGACATCAGACCCTGCACACTGCCGTCAGCAACCACATACGGAAGCTAAGATCGAACCAGTTGCACCGCAGATTTTGGCTGCTCGTACCAAATTTTTTGGGGATGTAGAACAAACTAGTGCGGCCGGGTTCTGAGGATTCATATTGTTGCACGTGCACAAGAAACCCCAATAGTTGCGGCCGTTTTCACCACTGCAACCTTGTTGCGAGGAAGAGAACGCATTGGCGTTTGATTGCTATGCGTTCTGTTTCGTATAACCTAAAGATGTCTCCTATCTCGCCTCTCCTTGCGCGAACATGAGCCACGCCGTACACGGGTTCTATGTTCGAATACAGGAAGTCGGAAATACCGCTCGTGGACCAAGTGAACAAGTGACCTCAAGATCCACGTCAGGTACGTGCTGCTGTGTTGCTTCCCACAGGAACAGATGGATCGAAGTACGGCAGCGGCTATGATGATACAGCGTTTTGCTTCGGTTCCGTGGATGAGGCTGATTGCGCCACGCCCGAGTCCCGCCAGATCTGTCAAGTGCCACAATCCCGATGTGAGAGCAGCAGTTCGCGGACTTCCTTCCATGCTTTTATGTGTAGCTCTGCAAAGGAATGGCGTGCAACAATAAGCATCCAGCAACACAGTGGACGGTCGGTTGAGAAGAACATAACGCTTCCGAGGCATCGGTACGCGAGGTAGCCAAGCACTCAAGTAGTCCACCCAAGTATATCATTGTCGTCTCCCACAAAGCAAAACGGGCCTCTGAGTGGCGTGGCTGTGTCCTGCAGCGCATGGTCATGGCAGATTGCTTCTATTTTTGGTGTGCTCGCATTTCCCTAGGCAGAAGGATTTCAGCTCTGATATAGACTTTGGGCTGCGCAAGTTCAAGGGATCAACCACCAAATTTGGATCTCCCTCTATTCCTTCGGGCTACAATCCTCTTGAAGGATTGCCGCTTCGTGTGTTAACTCACCGTTGGGCTCCCTTGGCAGGTTCGACCGAAGAAACTTTTGGCTCCATGTGCCTCTCATGACCCGCGAGTTGCAGGCCAAATATCCACGCATCCGTTGCAGTGCATCTTGACTGTATTGACGAGGGCACAAGTTGAAAAAGATTTTTTCAGGAGCCCACGCGAGCGAGGCACAAGTACAAAGAATCAGTGAATTGTGTTGTTGCGGCTGTTACTTGCTAGTTGTTATTGCTCTTTCCTTGGGACCGACACCGGACGGTGCCGCCTAGGCTCCGAATTTCGTTCTCCTATGATTGCAAAATCCTCACAATCACCCAAAATCAACAAGCACAATCACAACCTGAACATCTCGGAGTCCTCAACCCTGCTCTTTCACACTTAATACTGCATTAGCCAGTTATAATGGAATCTCGTTGTCTTGCCACGCTACTGGAAAAGGGCCTCGAGAGCAACGCAACTAGTACTGCTTCTCTACCATCCCAAGTCACGTCACTCGCAGAAGAAAAATCTCAACCTCTCCTCATCACGTGCCCTCTTCCGGCAGAGAGGGTCGATGAGAAGCCTTTCCGGAAGCTTCGACATGCCATCCTCACCGTGTACTACCGCCTCTTCACGCTCGTTATCGTGGCCAACATCATCGGACTTGTATTCATCGACCACCGTCACCGTGACAATACTTCATATGTCAAGGTCAGTTCTAGCGTGCGTCTTCATACCTATTCTTTACTAATGCGGACACCAAGATTATCTCGTCTGCTGCTTCTGGTAATCTCTTCGTCGCCGTTGCCATGCGTCAGGACTACATTATCAACTTCCTCTGTGAGGTCTTCGCTGCAACTCCCAAGAGCACACCACTCCGGATTCGTCGCATCCTGGCTAAAGTCTTTGAATTCGGTGGCGTCCACTCAAGTGCTGCGATCTGCTCCACTGCGTGGTTCGTACGCCTCGCAATCCATCTCACCGTGAGCTTTGAGAACGGCAACCTACGCAACATTCCAGTCCTCGCACTTGCTTACGTTCTCCTGCTACTCTTCACTGCCATTGTCGTTTTCGCCCATCCAAAGATTCGCCAAAAGAACCACAACACCTTCGAACGCATCCATCGCTTCGCTGGTTGGATGTGTAGCATGATCTTCTGGACACTGATCGTTCTCACTGCGAAAGCGCTGTCAGAAGCGCCAGGCGCCGAGCATACACCCATCTACATCCTCATCCGCCTGCCTTCGTTCTGGTTGCTCTCTCTCAACACCATACACAGTGTGGTCCCCTGGCTTCGCCTGCGCAGATGGGAAGCTACACCGGAAGTGATGTCACCTCACGCCCTTCGTCTCCACCTCAAGGCCAATATTGCAGATTTCTACACCATTCGCATTTCTGACAGTCCTCTTAGCGAATGGCACTCGTTCGCGTGCTTCGTCGACGCCAGGCCCCGAAATGGGAGCACGAACTCCGTGGTCATCTCTCGTGCTGGAGATTGGACGGCAAAGACAATCGCCGACCCCAAGCCCTTCTACTGGACCCGTGGCTTGCCAACAAGAGGTGTTCTCTACATGTCGCTCATATTCAGAAGTGTTGTCTTGGTCACTACCGGAAGCGGCATCGGACCCTGCCTCAACCTCCTTGCCATGAACCCCTCCACCCGCCCATCTGTCCGCGTTTTCTGGTCGACGCCAAACCCGCTCAAGACCTTCGGCGCGGAGATCGTTGGCAACGTCCGAGCAGCAGATCCTAACGCCGTTATTTGGGACACCAGGCAGTTTGGCCGACCTGACATGGCTGCAGTGACGTGGCAGTTGCTGAAGGAGTCAGGGGCGGAAGCTGTCTTCTGCATCAGCAATCCGAAGGTTACGAAGTTAGTCATTTATGCGATGGAGAGTCGTGGTGTTGCTGCCTATGGACCGATCTTTGATTCTTAGATGGTACATTGGGAGTTGCATAGCTTGCATTGCTTCAAGATGACACAGAGATGATATTGAATGTCCGACGTTGCAAAGCTACACGGGCTATACGTAGATGCGAATAAATAGCGCGATAGGGCGTCAATTTCCTAGCACAATATACTTTCGTGCTGAGGGGAGGGGCAGGAGGGAGCTCAAGTGAAGTCAAGATTGTGGCGCAAGCCAGCAAGCCACGACTGCAGCTCTTCGGCCTCGATGCAGCCCTTCGGACAAGACGTCATCCGTCCCGGCTTCAATCTTTTCGTCCTCGGGATTGCGTTCAGCCTCGTGTTTTGAGGCTGATCTTGACTTTTCGTTGTCCCATTGCGTTTGCGTTTATTGACGTTCCCTCATTGTGCGTATCAAATTTCTCTGTGCTTGCGATGGATTCGAGCAACACCGGGCAAAAACGTCTTGAAGGACAGATCTTAGCGATTTAAATCAGCTCAAGTCCTTAACCCTGTGATTCCTCTTTGCTTTTCGAAGACAGATTCTGATCTCCAGGTTGTCATTCGGCTCGGGATTCTTGGCTCGCGGTGGTGGGTGGAGATGCGGATGTCTCAGCCACGCTCCCATTCGTTGGAAGTGGCGGACGAGGTCTGAGGTTTGGGTTTGGAGTGGAGCTGCGGCTGCAGCTGTCAGAATTACAAGGTGTTATGGGAATCAAATGTACTTGTAGCGAGACCGCCACAGGCAGGGTGTGAAAGCTAAATGAAAAGCTCGTGTTGTTGACTTTTCTGGTCTGTGCCAGCCCGGAACCCTCCCCCGGGCCTCGCTACATTTAATTCCCATAAGACGTTGTACCTGAGGTGTTCTGGAACGAACGTCTGTCTGTTCATTTTGCACGTCCACCTACCTGCGCTCAGGCCGATTCAAAGAATCGGTGGCGACACGGGGGATCGTCATCTTCAAGACGACACCCGCACCAGGAGGACAAGTATGATCTCCGCCAAGAATACCGGGCACTTCACCGTAAACTCTGCATTGCGTACATTGATGCGAGTTAGGGTTCAAGGCATGATTAAACGTTCCTTTTCCTCAGATTCAGATCTCGAAAGGTTCGATTCTTTTACGAGATGTGATTTGCTGATTGTTTCACGTGGACGGAAATAGCATAGTGTTCAGGTACGGGACAAACCTTGGCGTGCAGGGGCTGCTTGGACGGAGCTGTGAAACGGGGACGAGACTCGGCTATGGCGCATTCAGGGGCAGGAATGCTGCGTTCTTTTTCTCTATTGGGGGGTTTTGGGCAGCAAAAGACGAGATTCATAGAGCACGAGCAGCACGCCAATGGAATTGCTTATGGAGGGTTGTGGGTGTTGAGATGTGATTGAAGGGCAGAAGCGTTGCAAGGAGCGGGGATTTCCAATTTCTCATCTCATCAAATATCTCACTGCAGCGAAGCCGCGTCTTTTCTCGTGCCAGGGCTGAAAACCCAAGCCCTGAGCCCTCAACGTGTGGTGTTCCTAGTGGGCCGAGCCGCTGAGAGGCTGCTGTTGCCCCTGCATCCCCGACGCCGATTCGGGACGCCGCCGAACGCCACGCCCCTCAGTGCCCTCAGCGCCGCCCGCCAAGCAGCCACTCGCAAGCATGTGCTCGCGCGTTGACAAACCTTTTGAAGGGTCTTTGACAGGGGCCAGGACTATCTTTCTCCGGAAACGGTGGTGACAGGCGTGGTTCAGACGTTTTGGAAACGGGGTGGGTCCACGCTGGCTGCAGTTTCGCGGCAGGGTGTCTTGGGACTCTTGGCGTACGTCGGGCTGGATCTCCTGAAGCTCGCGTTTGAACGGTCTGGGCTCATTCATCTCTTGTATATATTTCTCTGCAGTCCACTCTTCCTTTCTGTTTGGTTTTGTTTCTCGATTTCCTCCGGACACTTGATTGTGGGGTTCGATCTTGCATCTCTCAGTTCACTATTCTCTCTTTTCACCGTGCACGTTACATTCGTTCGAGACTCCAAGAGGGAAAGAACAGGAAGAAAGAAGCTCAAGATGGCAGAGGAAATGGCTGCTCCCGCCTCTGGCGCCCCTCCGGCAGCTACAGACCACGAGTTCACATCCCACCAGGAAGGACCAGCGCCTGTCCCATTAAACAATGCATCTCGCAGATCGACCCTTTCGAAAAGCTACCTCGATGTCAATGTCAGGGGCACGACGACGCCGCATAGTGTCAATCGGCACTCACATATGGGGGACATTGCTCTGGAGAATTACTTCGTGTGTTTCTCCAACCTGCAATTTCAGTGCAGGAAGCTTTGCGGAGAGCGGTGCTGATGAAAAGGACAGGTCGGACCCCGAGATATGGACGCCCACTCGAAACTGCCGTATTTCCTGCGATTGCATGGCAGTGTTATGCCGAGGATGATACTGCCGCTGTTCCTTGTAGGAGGCTGGGCGACATGTATTACCTGCATTTCGAAATTCGTTAAACCTCGTTCGTCTCCTCTTCCTCAACTCAGCCCAACTCCGGCCGGCTAATTATTCCAGTGGTCGTCAATCCCGTTCTCCTTACCATCCTCGGTTTTGTGGTCGGTTTGGCGCTGTCGTTTAGGAGTAGTTCTGCTTATGAACGGTAAGCTGAAAGCTTTGTCGAGGGTTGGGAGTAGGAGCTGATACTTAAAACAGTTACTCCGACGGCCGCAAATCGTGGGCCACCCTCTCCGTCCAGTCTCGAAACCTCGCCCGCTACATCTGGGTCCACATCAGCGAACGCCCCGAAAACTCCAAAGACGACCTCCTCTCAAAAGTCACAGCCATTAACCTCATCCTCGCCTTCGCCGTCTCGCTCAAGCACAAGCTCCGCTTCGAGCCCTTTGCCCATTATCAGGACCTGGCGAGCCTGATCGGACATCTGGATACATACGCGAAGGGCGCAACGAAAGAGCACTTGGACGAGGGCAAGATGACGCCGTGGAAACGAGTGGGCAATTATCTCGGCATGAGCATGGCGCAGAGTAATCCGCGGAAGGCGATCAAGAGGGCTGATAAGCCGCTCGGAAACCTGCCGCTTGAGATCCTGACCTATCTTTCTTGCTACATCGAGGAAGCGAATGCGAATGGGACGCTCAAGAGTCCGATTGTCTGTGGGCAAATCAGTAAGTCTTCCCCCAATCCCCCCCCTTTCTTTTCTGCTCGGATGTGCTGTCAAAATTTTGGGAGTTTGGATGGGCTGACTTTGGGTATAGTGACCTCGCTCGCAGCGCTCACCGACACCCAATCCTCTGCCGAGCGCGTCCTCACCACGCCCCTCCCCGTCGGCTACAACATCCTGATCTCCCAAATCGTACTCCTCTACATCTACCTGCTCCCCTTCCAGCTCTTCAACACGCTGGACTGGATCACCATCCCCGGCACCCTGGCCGCGGCATACATCATCATCGGGCTCGCGGCCATCGGGAACGAGCTCGAGAACCCGTTCGGCAACGATGTCAACGATTTGCCGCTTGATAGCTACTGTGCGGAGCTGAAGAGGGAGCTGGATACGTTGACGTCGGTACCGGCGCCTAAGTTTGGGGACGTGGTTATGGGGAGGGGTGGAGGAGAGAACTTGGTGCTGTGGCCGCTGAGTCAGAGTGGGGCGGCGGATTGGCGGGAGAGGAGCGAGAAGGATATTAGGAGTGCGTTGAGGGCGAAGGTTATGGTCAACGTGGGGATGGGCAGTGGGAGTGGCTCGATTGATGGGCAGACTTTGGGCGCGTGAAAAGGGGAGAGAATTCCGTGGTCTTGGGAGTGGAAAAAGCATGGGTTAGTTAAATTGATAGCATAATCAGGAGCGGGGCATATAGCGTGGGCGTTTTGTAATGTTTGAGAAGACATGATTTGGAAATTTGTAGAGTGTGACGGCTGGCATAACTGCATGATTTGCCGCAAATATAACACGAGAGGAAACGTGCCCAAAACTCAGAAAGTTCAACGCGAAAGAGAGAAAGTGGGAAGTGAGGAAGGTGCGATTGTATTTGTGCTCCTCGTTTGTGAACCGTGACACAGGAAGGCGCGTCCCACAAACAATTGCAATGAGAAATCTCTCAAGCAAGAAAACTGAAGAAGGGAAGCAGACTCCCCTCATAAAGCAAAGCAAAACTAAAAGCAAGCCCAAGGCTGAGCTATTTAAGGCTCGCACGTAACACAATGTATATATGTGATAATAGAAACTCGCTTTGCACATCCCCTCCATCCAGGTACCTTACCGTACTTCTCCCTCCCACAACCTTGTTCCATCCAACGAACGCATACTATGACAGCACATTTCCAGCGCTGGATCTTGCGCACATTTTCAATTCATTGGAGTCGATGAGAGCGTGCAGTCTAAAAGCAGAGAATTTTTTTCAGGGTGTTTGAGGGAAGCATGTGCGGGGAGCCGAGACTAAGACGTAATAGAAATTCCCCCTTTGCGATAGAGGGGTATAGAGCAATTTTAGGGCCTGAGGGAGATGCAGCGATGAGGAACATGTTCTTAGGGTGTTCTGGAAGGGCTGGGATGATGCTATTTCCATTTTTGTGTGAGGTTCTGGGTTCTGCGTTGTAGGAAAGGAGGAGGGAGAAGGACGTGAAGGAGAGGTATGATGGTGGGGTTTTGGAGGAGAGCAAGCAGTGCTTGAAGATTTGAGATTTGTTGAAGGAGGGTGGGTGATGAGATATGAGGCGAGGAAGAATAAATTTTGGTACGCCCTGTTGGAGAGGGTTTGAGTGATTAGAGATGTGAGGAGGTGAGGTGTGTGAGAGTGAGAGTGGGTCGCGAAGTGAAGTTTCTTTTGCGATGCCTACAGTGAGTGGCCACATGTCTGTCCGACTCGCGAAAATCACACCAAAAACGGCCAAAACGCCTCCTATAATTTTTCAAAAATCTAGCGCCTTCTTAAATTAAAATAATAATACTTTTAACCCACGATCAATAATTACTTTTTATTACATATACTCAAATATAGGTCTCTTTGAGGTTTATCTCTATGTATAATGTAACTTATTAATTTTCACTTTTTGATTTTCTCGATTTTCTCGCTTATTTACATAGTAAATCCGCGAAGTTATAAAAGTGCTCGGTATTATTTGATTTTATAGCCTGAAAAGGGATAAAATGCAAAATTCTAAGTAAGTAGAAGTGTGTATTTAGTAAATCTGGCTTAAATCCAAGAATCTAAGGTAAATATAAGAACGCCCTCCGGCCAAAACTGCCCAGGGCAATATAGGCGTTTTGGTGTAAAACAGCCCAATCGGACAGACATGTGGCCACCCACTGTATGCCGAGCATGTGCCGAAATCTGGGGTGTTTAGCGAGGGGGACAGGGACTTTTCAGGGGAAGTAAAGAAAGGAGGCAAGGAGGTATCTTTCCGTCTTACCATCGCAAGGGACCCTCTCCGACTGACCGATATTTCTGCATTTATTTACCTGGTATAGTCTAGGCTGGACCAAAATTCATAAATCGTTAATGGAGAATTGAGATCAGGCTTCCAATTTGATGCTTCGTGTATCCTAGCGACTTCTGTCAAATTCATATTTATCTTGAAATTGGAACATATAAGATTATATCTTTTGAATTGTCATCACTCTCATTAATTATCTTAACTGTTGAGCATTAAAACCATCCCTCATTCAAGAGAACTGTCACGTGCTGCGCACAGGCGTACATATAGCTTCTTTACCGCCCTTAGGGCACCATCATTCTTACATATTTATACAATACACACCACATTCCACCCCCACAGCTTGTCCAGGCGGTGACAAGAACCTTCATAAACTTAACCCTATTCGCCTGCCATTGATATTATTCTGCTATATCATCTGCTGATCAAACCCATCTCCCATCTTCGCCTTGCATACTGACCATTTTGTACGGCTCTACAAAATTGCTGACTTTGATCGCTTCCATCCGATCACTTTGGCCACTTTGATTCACTTGATGATGTGCCATCGCTTGTCTCCTCTCCTACTTAAGCATTAGCAAGCACAGAACAGTTCCCTGCATTCAATTTATGATGACTCACCGAGTACTTCATCCTAACGTCATACCATACCTTTAGAATCCCCGCAATCCCAATGATGAATGGAATGAGCTGGCCGGTGGACTTGATAGTGTAAACATCAGAGACATTATTCCATTTCAGGGTGAGTTCAATTGCCAAAATTGAGTAGATCAGGGCGATCAAGTGGAAAAGCGAAGCAAAAGCTTGTTCCGACCATGCTCGGCGATATGGCGATGGACTAGCAAGACCAAGGATCAGTTACTTCTTCATTTTCCAAATTTCTCAGAATGTCGGAGAGGCAATAAAAGATACGCTGGCGAGTGGGAAATATCTATGACTGACCTCCCGGGTGTTTCTACAGAGATAAGAGCATCCCAAACCAAAAGTAGATACCTATAGCTGATCTTGATGCGGCCCCTGATTGAGGCAACATCTGATACTGACGCTCCCGACATTGAATCTTCAGCACGCAAATTCTCTTGTGATTCAGCATACAACTCGTCAAACCTGCGTCCAAATTCCGCATAACTGTTCAAGGGAGGCCGAAACGATATCTGATGTCTCTTTATAGTGGGCTCTGCTCTAACGATCATATGGTCAATAGTGATCTCCTCGATATAGGCGGAGACGACCTCGGAGGAAGGGACGGAGCAATGGTATCTTAAAACCTGTCGAAGTGCTTCCTGCTGCTCTCGGTTGATTGTGTTCTTGCAAGCTAGCTCTGGGGAGATCGAAGGTAGAGCAATATCTTCAGCGCTTGCCCTCTGTGTCTTGTAATTCCATATCGTCCGCGCAAGATTGAGAATAGGTTTTCTGTGCGTATAAGCCATCATGTATAATCCGACAGCAGCCATATAGATTAAGAACGCAGCGCAAAATATACTGGCTCTTTGAAAGTCTTTTGCCGGTATTTTCGTAAATAGAAAGACGGTGGTACCGCAAGGACTAGGATTGAATCGATTTCCAGATTTTCCGTGGATCCAAAACCAGAAGCCGTATATTTCTACCGCGAGAACTATACCGTTCGCAAATAGTCGTCGCCAGAGCCTGGAAGCCCGTGGCTTCTTGCTCCTCGGTCGGTAGCCTCGCACACTGAAGAACCCACCAAATAACATATAGAGTATGATAACAACTTCGACGGGATATGATTGTACATGATCGAATGTGAGGACGAAGACTGCGATCATGAGCGCAAAAGAGAAAATAATGTAGGCGTTAGATAAATCGTTAGAGCCTTTTAGGTGAAAGTAAACTGCGATTTGCGAAGTGATCCACTGGAAATAGACACCCAATCTTATGCCCAAGCCGTAGAGGGCCAAATTACCGGAGAAACCACACTGTTGCATGTCTTGGTCCATGGCAATAAGCACTGCAAGCAAGTAATCATGAGCATAGGGAAAGGATGAGGATGGGGATGGAAGACAGACAGACGACGACTCTAAGAAAAATATTAGTTTGAGGTGGCGAAGTTTTCAGCTCCTGCAAGCCACGTCACTCCCACGAATCAGCCATCACCAGTTTTCAGCCTCATAAAGTAGAAGTTTACAACTTAATTTGGACAGAAAAAGCTAAATAATGAGGGTTTCAAAGTAGAAATTCCCTTCTCAGTGGAACACTTGCTTAAGAAGAGAAATTGGACGAGCTATTAGGTCCAATAATACTTTTTAGTATAATAAGCTTATGAAGTGGTCCCTGTGCTAAAATAATCTGGCTATTTTCAGACCTTATGAACATGCTCCCCGAGAGCTAGAGGGGATATTTGAACCGTTTTGACAACCTCCAGGACGCGAGAGAAATTTGCACGGAACTTTTGCGCGGGAGTCTAAAGGCGCTTGAGGAGAGCTTTTGATTTCCTCATAAATGAAGTTGCAAGAGCATCCGATCCGACAAGATCCCTGAGCGAAGAACCTGCACGGTCTCATCTTATTCAGCGCCATCATGCCATGGGTCGTGAGGGTTGAAAGGTCGAGCTCGTGTTCAAAGCCTGGAGTTACAGTTCACGTAGATTGCTCTCGGTCGTTGGGCCGAAAAATTGGTCCACGAACCGGAAGGTGATTCACGTGTACGAAGATTGCGGCATAAAGTAACGGGATTACAGGGCATTTACGCTCGCGTAGGGGTCTTAGCGGACTCCAGGGTGTGGTTTAACGTACTGCGCCCGCTATAAAGGTCTGGAGCTTTTTTGCTCTTGAGAATAGCAGTAAGGTGCAAGCTTTCTGAAGCTTTCGCTTTTGAGGGTTGGTTTATTTGATATCCTTCACAGGATTGAACGGTCTTGCTTTGAAGGTAAAGCGGGAGAGATCTTGATGTCGGTCGATCCGAGGCTATACGATGCCTTGTAGAGGCTCGTATGGAAGGTAACCAAGAGCTAGGAGGAAGTCCTAATGCTAGTCGGTTCGAGGTCGTATAATACCTCGTAGGGACTCGAATGGAGGAGGATCAGGAGGCTAGGGAGGGGGAGGCCCCAATGCTGGTCGATTCGAGGTTGTATGATACCTTGTAGGACTCGAATGGAGGATCGGGCGCTAAAGGCGAGCTTTGAATACCGTCTTCGTAAGGGACCTTCCACCTTGCTTTCCAAGCCCTGAATACCATATCCGTGACAGCAATGTCTCACCGGACGAAGAAATAGTAGGGTAAATAGCGGTCAGATTCGCCTACCCCTGTTATTTTCGCCCTATACCTGCCATTTTGAAATAATTAGAACGATCTAATACCGGTATTATCCAGAATAAGGAATAGTCTAGACTACAGTCTGAGACTATAGTTTAATTAAAAAAAAAAATCAGAATGCGATCTCATTTAAATGAACTAGACTAAGGGTACTCAGAACTAGACTAGACTGTAATAAAAATATCCAGACTATAATTTAGATCATAATTGTGAGGCACGTAATAGCAGGGTAATGCACAAGTAGTCAAGGTAAGTAAGCTGCAGAGTGACGCTTGCAAGTGTAACTAATTCCAAGAATTGATTCTAGCAAAAGACTAATTAATACCTCTTTCCAAAGCTAGAAGCGTCTTCCTATATATTCCCTAGTACTTAGCCAAGCCTGCAAAGCACTTTACTTAACTAGGAAATATAATCCCATGCAATCCGTATAATTCTGATTACCTGTATAATTCCGATCGCAAGCTTTACCTAAAATAGGAAACTAGATTTATAATATCTAATATCTATCTATATACTATTACATATATCTATTATATTAATCCCCCCTCTAGGCCCTTGTCTCTAAAAGGCCTGAGAGAACTGCAAATAGCTTTATAGATAATTCTCTAAAACTTTTCCGACTACTAGTTCTTTCTAAAAACTTCTTATAATTATCTTATTATTACGCCAGGTAATAGAATTAAAGATATAGTTTACTAATCCTATCCGGTTAACTTGCAAATCGCCTCTAGTAATTCCCTCTTATAAAAGTAGTACAGATATAGTATATACTATTAGATATAAAGCTCTTCCGGTCTTCTAATTAGTTTATAAATCCTAACTTAGCCTCTATTTCTAAATAAATTATTATTCTATAGGCCTAAGAGCTTAGAAAAGTTAATCTAATCTTCTAGTTCGTTTATAAATTTTTTCTTTAGAACTTTCTGGGTATTTCTAGTATAGAGCTAATTCCGAATTTGTAATTACTATTTAAGAAAAGGGTATTATAAAAAGGCATTTTCTTTTCTACTAACTAATCTTCTCTTTCCTTAACTATAATACTATATCTAGCTCCTTCTTGTCCCTTGCCCTCTTTCTTTAAGCCTTCTTTAAGCTCTGTTAAGCTTTTTTAAGCTTTATTTAAGCTTTATTTAAGTTCTTTTCTAATTTTCTTTTTTATTTCTTTATTTATTAAGATAAATACTTCTCTTAATATTTATTAGCCTATTACTATTTATTTGGCTAATATTTCTATATCCTTAATTCGCTCTTATTATCTTTAATATTTCAAGAATATTACTAAGTTTCCTGATTTTACTTAATAGCCGGTGCCCCTCCCACGCGCTTCGCTTGTGGTCGGGATAAGCAAGTATCTCGTTTAACCAAGTGTCCTATCGAGAAAATATATGCCCTAAAATTTACGTATGATCCTCACCAAAAAACGCGTCTTGTAATTGCGCATTTGGCCCAACTTATTAACTAATTCATTATTCAATTTATGTATAAAGATTCCAAAAATGGATATACCTTTATTTGATTCTACTAGGATTGGGAAGATGTCCTGGGAGTATTTCTATTATTCATATACTACGGAAGCTGATTACTACCGTATCTTTAATAAGGCCTGCGAATGGTACCTTGAGAACGACGATAATTCAGTAATTACTACTGCGAGGATATATCACGTTAAGGAAGCTTCTTTGCGAAAATCGGTACTCCGCAAACGCAATAAGAAGAGGAACTCCCAAGGACTCTATAATACGTATAGTAGCAATAATAAGATCCTGAACGAGGCACAGGAGGAGGCGATTCGGCAATATTGCTACGAGCAATGGGAGGCTGGTTTGGGTGCTACATATTACATGGTTCAAGCCGCAATTGCCCACTTGAAGGCTATAAGTACTTCTTTTAAATCTAATAATATATCTAACGTAATTAGGCTGAATCTCCCCCAAAACCACCCCCTTTGGCCACTTGGTTTAGCCTCTGGATACGGAACCACAAGACACTTCACATGATTAAAACGAAGCCAATTACATACATACGACTCGAGTCCCATATAGAAAAGGATATTAGAATATGGTTTCAGAAATATTACGATATTCTAGAGGAGCTTTATATTATAAAGAGGAAGAACGTTCTAAATATAGATAAGTCAGGAGCACGTATTGGTTGCCCTACTAGTAAGTACGTAATTATACCTATAGAGGTAAAAGAGCTATATATGGCCAGCCCTGAGAATCGCAAATCAGTTACGATAATCGAGACTATTTATACAGATAGTCGTAAACCTCTTCCGCCATTTGTAATTGCTCCTGGAAAGAAGATTATGGATAATTGGGTATTAGAAAACCTGATCGGGACAGAGCATATTAAGTATATACTTACCGGATATATAAATAATAACGTAGCTATGAAATACCTCGATTATTTAATTAAGTATTCAAGAGCTAGGCCAGACAAACCTTGGAAAATCCTTCTCCTAGACGGTTACGAATTACACGTCTATAAATCATTTTAATTAAAGGCCGGGGAATATAATATTAAGCTATTCTGGTTTCCCTCTCACTTGACACATGTCCTTTAACCACTTAACGTTAGTATATTTCGCCCCTGGAAGTACTATTATAAAATGGTAATTCATATAGCCCTCCGTTCCCTCGATTTTGAATATACGATTACCTCCTTTTTCCGTAATCTTACCCTGATTCGTATATAAATAATACAAAAATATATAATTAAGAACGCCTTTGAGAGCTCTGGTATATAGCCCGTTAGTTGCAAAGCTAGAATTAAAAAGATACGATTATACGGAAAGAAGAAGAGATTAATTAAGGAGGTTAAGGAAGAGGAGAGCTTAGATCTTCCCCCTTTATTACCTACTCGCCCCGATAAAGTATAGAATATAGCCGCAATCCTTAGGATACTTGCAGATCGCGATCCTATAACTTTTTCAGAAAATTCGAAGGAAACTTGGATAGCTATAGTCAAAAAGGTTAATATTTAACTGCAAAAAAGTTATCTCCAGATAATAGAGTACCAGGCTCTCTAAATAAAGCTTCGTAAGGAGTATAATCATAAGGCGAAGTCCCGTAAAAGCTCATATAAGGGAGGGCCATCTGCTAGTATAGCAGAGCTTCGTATAGAGATTAAAGAGAAAAAGGAGAAAGATAATAAAGAAGCTCTTTACAAGGCTAAAAAGAAGCTCGCCACTGCCGTAAATCGAGCTAAAAATCAGCTCAAGGACACCGGGATTCAAGCTCGCAAGGATAAGAAAGCTAGACTAGCTAGAATCGTGAAGTATTAACTAAAGGATAAGCTAATTCTAGTAAAGGATATGGTACCAATTCGCAAACCTAATAAATACCCTATAATTATTGAACGAGCTCGCTATAAGGAGGACTTTTACCCTGATTTATAGCTCGTAGTTCGCCAGCTTATAGTATCCCTCAGTAATCTAGCCCCCGATTAGCTAGAGGTACTAAATACCTTTATTAATATTAACGGGGATAAGGATATAGTAATTAATACTACTGAACGGAAGCATTAAAAGAAGAGGGTGGGAGAGTATATAGACTCAAGTCCACCCCCCCTTATTATTCCAGACTCTTCAGATATAGAGAGTAATACGGGCTCAATTAATAGTATATAAGCGAATGCCGATTTTGTATAGTTCTAGGTAGCTTTATATTTTTTGTAACTAGTATCCTTAAATTCCATTGCAAATATGCTTGATTTTATATGCAATATATACCAAAAATCAAGAATCGGCTAAAATCTCGATAGGACACTTGGTTAAACGAGACACTTGCTTATCCCGACCACAAGCGAAGTACGTGGGAGGGGCACCGGCTATTATATTAAGAGTAATAATTACTTAATATATAATTATTACTATTCTAAAAATAATAAATTCCTTCTTTTATTTCTTATTCTAATATTATCTAAAATTCCTTAAATATATATAATATAGCTAAACTGCCTTTTTTAAGCTATTAATATATATAAGTATCTTTTTTATTCTTTATCTAAAAGAAAGAAAGCTATTACTATGTTTCTTTTATATTAAACTATATATACTTCTTATATTAAAACTATTATTCGAGGCTAATAAATTCCTCTAATAATCTAAGAAATAAGTTAAGTAATTTTTACTAGCTTAGTATAAATATAAAGTACTTTTAATAATATAGTTAATATTCTTTAGTATTAAGTAAGCTTACTTCTTTCTTAATTCTTACTAATAGCTAATAGCTTTATAGGCTAATTTATTATTTATTTCTTAAAAGAATTCTAATAAGAATAATAATAAAAATAATAGAAAGTAGTTATAAAAATAGGGTATTTATAGGATATAGAAATTGAAGTTTTTAGAGTTCTTAATAATCTTTATATAGTTTTTCTAAGAATAATTATATAGGTTTTAATAGTTTTCTAATAAAAGTATTTATTTTTTATATTTTTATTTAGCTAATAGTATTATAATATTATTCTTTTTCAAGTATTCTTATAATTCTTAAGCTATATTTTCTAGATTACTTAATAGTTCCTATATATTATTTACTAGTAAATAGTTTTTCTAATAAATAAGATTCTTTCTTTCTTTTCTACTCTTTTTATAAACTATAATAGATTTCACCTCGAATTCTTTTTTATTCTTAATCTTAACTAGTTCTAGTTCTATTATAGTACTAGTTTACAGATATTATAGTTCTAAAAGAGAAATATAGAAAATATTATAAATCTAATATAGTAGTAATAATTTCAAGTAATATATCTATTTATATATTTCTATAACTTCTAGAACTTTAAAAGGGCCGAGATATTTATTTATTAGCTTTATACTAGATTATAGCTATTAAATATTCTTTATATAAAATATAACTTTATTATATATATTAAACTTTTTATTAATATATTTCGTATTATAGTACTTTTTTTATATATTTACTACTTTTTACTATTACTTCTCTAGTACTTCCTATTTTACTTAAATTCTCTATATTCTTTTCTATATTACTAGTACTTCTTTTTCTAAAACATTATCCTTAATATATAGTTTAATACTAGAATAAAATCCGTATAATATATAAAATAAAGAAATTTCTATTATTAAATATATAAAATTATTATATATGAATTCTATAAGAGCAAGTTTTATTATCTAATTATTTTATTAGTAGCTAGTATAATACCTTAAATACTATTCTAGAGTTTGGTTTAGATTCTCTATTTATTTATTAGTTTATAAGTAAAATACTATACTTAATTATTATTAAATCTTTAAATAGAAATATAGATTTAACTAGAACTTATTTATAAAAATAGATTCTCTATTAGAGATTATATTTATAAATATACTAAAGTCTTTAATAATATAATATATAAATAGCTCCGCTAATTTAGAAGCCGAGATCTCTTTAGTAATTAGAATATATTATATTATTTTTATATATCTATTAATAATAATAAATATAGAATTATATATCTTATTATAAAACCTAGAAAAAGACAGCCCTATAATAAAGTCTATAGTAATTTCTTACTATAGCTTAAAGGAAAGAAGAAACGAATTAAATATACTATATAGTAAATATCTTTTTACTTTAGTTTATTAATATATAAAATAAGTTCTAATATAGTCTTTTATATTCTTTCTTATATTTTATTAGAAATACTTCCTTTAAAAAATCTCTAGTATTTTACTAATACTAAAATATCTATCTATAGAGTTATTATAATTAGCTTATAGTAATTCTTCTTTAAGAGCCGGCTTATTTAGTATATAAATAGTATTCTAATATTTTAATAACCCAGATATATTAAATCTTTAAGTCTTAATAGCTCTAGTAAAGGTCTCTTTTAAGAACTATTTATATTACTAGTATTATACTAATAAATCGAGCTTTTAGTACTATAATAGTAGTTTAAATAATATCTCTCTATTTTCCTTATATACTATTTCGGATTCAGTTACTTATATAGCTAGAATCTATAATATATATTATTTATAACTAGCTATACTAATAATAGGCTCAAATAGTAATATTTCTAGTATTATTTTATTACTAAAATAGACTTCCTTTTCGGAATTTCTTAGTATTTTACTAATTAAGAAATATTTACTTTTTCTTTTCTAGACCTTAAATTATAGTATTATAGAAATAATATAGTATTCTATTACTATTATCTATAGGGTTTTTTATTCTATATTCTATAGCTTATTATAAAATATAGATAGTAAAGTATCTTTATCTATATTTATTATAAAGTCTAGCTATCTTAATAGCCTATTAGTAAAGTTATTATACTCTAGCTAATACTTTAAGACAAAATTAAAAATAGCTAGCTTTTTTACTTATCTTATTTATTAACTATTTAATTTTCTCTTAGTTATAAAGTATTTCAAGTTATTATAATCTATTTTAATAATAATAATATATTAGATATATATTAGGTAATATTACTAGATATGAAATACTAGAATAATATATAAGAGTTTAGAGTTATATATCTTATATCTATTTTTAATTATAGTTATTTTCTTTAAATAAAAGGCAATAAAGTACTACCTGACTTCTGCTCTCTTACTAAAAAGCTAGGAAATTATATCTATAATTATAAATCCTAAAGTATCTGTTTTTATATAAATCTTTAAAGCTAGATTAAAATAATAAAGAATTAGTACTATTATAAATATAATTTATAGCTTTTTAAAAGTCTTATCTGCCTTATTTATATAGCTAAAATAATATTATATGTTTTTACTAGTTTTTAATAAATTAATTAATTCCTTTATTATCCTGAAATATTAATAAATAAACTTCTAGTAAAAGTTAGTAAAATCCAGAAATACTTAGACTTCTCGGATATTATTCTTTAGGGCCGGCTATTCCCTAATAGCTATAATCTAGCTAGCCTCTATTTCTATACTATTTAAGCTAATTATAAACCCTAGAAACTCTATTTTTTCTATATTAAACTTGTATTTTAATAAGTTTTTAAAAAGCTAATATTATTATAGCTATTTGAGTATATATTAGATTATTACTATATACTATTCTAGGTTCTCTAAATAAATTAAAATATTATCTAGATAAACTATATAAATAATATTTATAAGGCCTACTAGTATATAGTTAATATATACCTGAAATATTATTAGAGTATTAGATAGCCTAAAAGATATAATATAATATTTGAAATATCTATAGTATATTCGAAATACTATCTTTTACTTATTACTTTCCTGTATTTATAATTAATAGTAAGTATTCTTTAAATCTAGTTTTATATATATCTTTACTCTATAAAATCTATTTATAGTTTTACTAATAAATAGTAATAGTATTTGGTTCTTAATAGTAATTCTATTTAGATTCCGGTAATTAATATATAACTATAGGCTGCCTTCTTTTTTTAGAATAAATATAATTAGAATACTAGCTAGACTAGTAGAATAACGAATTTATTTCTTTTCTAGGCTAGTATTAAGATATTTCTAAAGAACTTCAAGCTTCTTTTCTAATAAAGTATATATAGAACTATATAATAGTTAGAACTCTAGTTCCAGATCCATATAATACTCTATTATATAATAGTCGGGTAATATACTAGTAGCTTCTATAAAGAATACTCGGAAAAAGTTTTAATACTTTTTAGGAAATATAACTATTTTATTAGTAATAATAGTAGTAATTCTTTAGCTATTCGTTATAGAATAAGTAGTTAATAGAAAAATATATATCTTATACTTTATTACTTTAGTAAACTTCCTAATATTTAGAACTTTAATCTTCTATAATTAAATCTAGTATTTCTATATTATCTCTCTAAAAGAAATTAGAGAATTAATCTAATAGAGCTATAAAAATTCAAGTATTATATTAATATAGTTTAGATTAAAATTATATAATATAAAGTATATATTAGCCTTTTTTTAGTTCTTTAGTATATTCTTAATAGTAATTCTAAAAATATAATCTTTATATAAATAAACTCTCTTTCTCTCTAGTAAAGATAAGAGAGTTACCTTTAATATTAACGAAATACCTATATCTAAAGCTAATTTTCTCTTTATATAATTAGTCTCTATACTCGAATCTACTAATACTCTAACCCTTTATTACTTTTTTCTTGTCTTAATAGTAATTTTAATTACTATTCTTATTTTAAGGGCCTTATTCTCTATAATATAAACGAGTATAATTACTATAAGATATATCTGTTTCTCGGCTTCTTTAGTTCTAGATACTTATATAATTTATAGCCAGACTTATTATAGTTATAATAAGTCGGTTTCTTTTAATTAAGGCAAGTAGTAGTATAATAATCCTTCTTCTAATAAGTAAAGCAAATTATATCTAGTTTTATAAATTCTAATATAAGTACTATATTAGATCCCGTTATTATATCTTTATTATTCCGGTTTTATAAATCTTATAATAAGAATATACTTTTCTTCTATTTCTCTTTATTATCTCTCCTTTTTTTTTCTATTTTTTTTTTCTTTTACTATTCTATTAGTTTATTATTATATTTCTGTTAAATAAATAGATTTAAATTATTCTTAATTCTTATAGTAATAAAGATAAGCTTCTTTCTCTCTTATAAAGTATTTCCTTAATAATTAATCTTATTCCGGATCTTCTATCTCAAGCTATTAAATAAGTTATTCCGCTTTTATAATAAACCCGTATATTATAAGTTATTTAATAGACTATCTAAATAAAATATAAAGCTTTAAATACTTTAGCCTAGCTATTATTTAATATTCTTGAACTTAATAAGGATATTATTATTATAGTTCTTTAAATCTAAAATAGAATTCTTTATAAACTTAATAAAACTCTTTTAATTTATAATATTAATATCTACTAATTACTTTCTATACTTCTAGATATTTCTAGTTATATTCTTAAAATAAAAAATATAATATATAACCTTTATTATATTAATAGTCTAGGTAATTTTATTATCTTTATATTACTTTAACTCTATCTAATAAAAGAAGTTCTAGGCTTCTTTAATATTCTTTTTCCGGTAAGTAGGCAGTTCTCGGGTTTTTAAAGCCCTTTAAACCAAGAGTACTACTAGGGATATAACGGGTTCTATACCGGGTATTTAAATATTTTTAAGATAATAGATCTAAGCTTCTAGCTTCTTTAGATCTTCTCTCTATTATATCTCTGTTTCTAACTCAGTAATATAATAGTAAGCTACTACTAATTTCTCTGTTATTATTATTCTACTAGCTAGTTCTAGAGGTATCTGAGTTCTATTTCCTTCTTCTAATTAGATAGTATAAAGAGTACTTAACTAGGCACTTCTCTGGATACCCGGTTAGATTACTCTAGTAGTAGTAGAGGCACTTCTTTTAGTTAATACTCTAGCTATTAATATTTTTATCTATTAATAACTTAATTATCTTATAATAAACTATTTCCTAAAGGTTAGATTAATTAGAATATAAGATATATAATAGTAGGGTAATATATAAGTAATTAAAATAAGTAAGCTATAGAATAATACTTGTAAATATAACTAATTCCAAGAATTAATTCTAGTAAAAGACTAATTAATACTTCTTTTTAAAGCTAGAAGTATCTCCCTATATATTTTCTAGTACTTAGCCAAGCCTGCAAAGCACTTTACTTAACTAGGAAATATAATCCCATATAATTCGTATAATTCTGATTACCTGTATAATTCCGATCGCAAGCTTTACCTAAAATAGGAAACTAGATTTATAATATCTAATATCTATCTATATACTATTACGTATACCTATTATAATAATATATTTAGTTTATATGTAATTTTTTTAATCTTGGAATTCCCTTAAAGAGCTTTTTATAAAAATCAAAGCTTATTATTTTTAATATTTATATAAATAATAAAGTTTATATAAGAGTAAAGGTTATTATTTAAAAATTAAGTATAATTTAATACTTAATTATATCTTTAAATAGTTATATAATAAGTTATTAGTACCGAGTTTAGAATCTTATAAGTTTAAAAAGAGGCCGTATATCTAAGCAGAGCTAATTCTCTAGGCTAAGGTCGGACTATTCCCTACCCTGGTATTATCTAATACTTACTAATACGGGCCGGAACGTTCCAGGGTGGATCATCGCCAAGCCTGTTCAAAACGGGTCCATCTTACACCTAACGTCACCATCAACTCGCCAGCGCTCCCCCAGTCCAACGCGCGAAGTACCGAGTCAAGTAAAATTAACAACACCGCCGTTGCGAGTCTCCCAGCCTGATGTCAGGTAGCCAGGGCTGGTCCGTAAGGTTGGTTTGGAAACTTTGGATCTTGGACGATAGCAAGAATATTGATCTCTCCAATGAGTCCAATCTTGCGGGGCTATAGCACGGCGAGGTAAAAGGGCCCATCTTTTTCTCTACCACTGTAACCATTCTTGGTATTCCTTTGCCTGCTTCGCCATAGAAGGAATTCGGGTTCCCCGAGACCCTAGATCGTTTCGAATATGATTATTATATGAGGACTAGGAGTATTGGTCTGTAGATTTACAGGCGAAACAAAATCACAACGGTCCACTATTTAGAGTTATTTACTCCGCCACGCACAGGGTCTAGGAATACGAGCACCAACCCACCCCTGGTAGCGCACCTAATGTGGATTAGAGGAGCAGAGTTCCTATTTTGAGTGGTTATAAGCCTGGTCAGAAGGCTTTTGGATCTATTACACGGAGCAAAAAGTGGTCTTTGAATTAAGCCAGGGGTGTGCGTAGAAGGTTCACGAAGACGGTTTACCCTGGCAATGGCTCTCAGCCAGCTCAAAAGGGACTTCCTCACCGAAACAACTTACCGTAGGGTGGCTTGTAGGTTGGGTTCAACTCCCGATATACTGCTCTAGTGCTTATCAAGCACTAGGAACCAAAAATCAACGATAATGCAGCGAAAGGGACTTCCTCACTGGCCTAACCCCCTGGATTCCTACCCGCACCTATACTCAAAACATACGCACTAGCAAATAAACCAAGAGGGGGATAGCAGGAAGGGGGAGGCACAAGCCGGGTAAATTTGAGTCCAACAACTGAGTATTTCTCTATAAATATGCTGTCAGAAGCTCCCAAGTAGTTGATTTTTTTCTCACCACTAGTCATCCGCTCTCACTTCTCTTCTTTACCTAGCTATCTACTCACCTGTCCCTATCGTTCTTACGACTACCTATCAGGTGAGAATTCTCTAGTCATTGCAGCAACTTCTTTCTAACCCTTTCCGTCGCTAACTTAGAGCAGCCGCAAATCCCCAAAGTCATCATCATGCTCGCTCCCTCTGGTATCTTCGGCGTCGTCGCTGGTCTCGTCATGCTTGCTGTCCCAGCTTCCGCCCGCACTTGGGCCGGCGGCGTCAATATGCAGGCAGCATGCCAAGAGCAATACGCAAACGGTTCAGAGCAAGCCATCCTCAATAATTCCGGAGCCTATGACTGGTCTTGTTATGACCCAAACACGGGAAAGCCAGGAGGGGTCAATGTGGACGAGTATTGCCAATTCACCTACGGTGGTAGCGCCTACGCGGACCCTCAGGGCGGTGGTGCCTACGACTGGGGTTGCTATTTTCCATGAATTACTCTGCACCTGTGTCTAAGACGATCGGGTGGTCTCGTTCGACTGGGACTGGCTGTCAGGCTGGGTTGGGTGTGGGTAGCGGGGAATGCTTGGGGCGCGACTTCAATGGTCGAGGACTTGTTTGGTTTCATTCACTCATTCACTCCGTACAGGGGTCTTTAAGGATTAAATTACGCAACAATTGCCGCTTTATGCACATCTCGCTGTGGCTAATCACTGCAATTGAAGCTATTCAGACTATTTTCACCACTTCGTCTCCATTCAATCAGCTGCAATTACATTTAAACAGCGCTGGTGCATTGTTCTTATTTTCTCTCTAATCTCTGCATCTGTAATCGTCTCCAGTGTGTCAAATGATTAGGTTTGATTTGATTAGACCCCCCTACTCAAATCAAATCGAGTCAAAATCAAGCTAATCAAATCATACTTAATTATAATCAAAGATAATCAAAGATAATTAATTATATTTACTTAGATTATTACGTGACTACGCACATGACTCCAGAGCTTCGGAAGCCGAGATGAGGCTGAAATAAGGTTGGGCTGACCTCATTCGGTATCGCTAGGGGCGGTCTTTATTAAACCAGGCCTAGCGCCAATTGGTAAGCGAAGCCGAAGGAGCTGGAACCTCCTCGATTTCTGGTAATTCCTCGCCACCTTATAAATCGAATTATTATAAATAAAATAGCTAAAAATGAGCCCTCTTACAAATAGATGCTTTGAAATTAAGGGATTATAGCTGAGTTGCGGGATTTGCATGTCGACTCCGAAGTAGCTGAAACGCCACCTCCCAATAATCGCACCCCCAAACCCTTCGGAGTGCAAATACCACGTCTTCCAAGATGTCTACCCGTACGATCAAGCATCCAGCTACTTCAAAACATCGATGGCAATGAAGTGTCGACACTGCTTTCACATAACAGTCTGTTGCGAAGCCTGCAACCTTGACTTTACTTAGAGATATAAACATTTATTAGCAGCTCGTACTTGAGTATTCGACTCCGTATAGAACCTTACCGCACTGACAACAAAGAGATTCATGACAACGACTATGACAATGGATGGACGTCACTGAAATCCTCCTCTTTAGCGACCCCTCAAAGACACCACACTCTTCTCCCTCTTTGCGCTCTTCAACCTCGCCCAAAAATTCTCACCCACAACCTCCGTCCTCGTCCTCGTCCTCGTCCTCGTCCTCGAATCCGCCATCGTGATATCCTCCCCCTCTCCCCCCCGATGCGTCGCACATCTCCTTGGCGTGCTCCTTCCCTGAGACTCGTAAAAGAATCTGCTCACCTCAAACTCATGGTGCGGTCCCGGATCCAAACAAACCAATTTGGCGACTGAGCTCCGCAGCTGCGACCAACATATATCGCACCAATGGTACCCTGAAAATTTCTCCGAGGTTTTGGAACTGCTGAGACGCATGATCTTGCCGCACAGCTTGTTGGAGCAGCACACGTTATTGTAGATACTTGGCCAGGACTCCCGGAACTGGTATTTGCCGGACATGATCATTGCGGCGTTGGTCTTGAGGCCGAGCTTGGCGCAGATGCTGTTGCAAGTATGTGTGGCGAAGAAGAACTTGAAGCCCTCCTTACCGAGGTTTGCATCGGCGAGCTTGAAGCGCTCAGGATCGAGTGTGTGGATTACAGGGTCGGTCATGATGTTTTCGACGCCTTGGATGTCGCTGACGAGGAAGCGGCCCCGGGAACGCTCGAAAGTGAAGTGCGAGAAGGCCTGCGCGGCTTGGCTGAAGCGATCGGAGGGGTTGTCTTTGTTGACAAAGCCGCAGTTGTTGTTGTACTTGACGTAGGTCCCTTCGATGAAGGGCTCGAGGGATAGGCATTCATCGCCAGAGTCAGTCCCCGATTTACCTTTCAGGCATGTCGTCACGATGAAGTCGATTGAGTGCTCTTCCCCAAGTAAGGCGTTAAAATCGAGTGCAAATGCCTTGCACAGTGCTTGACACCGCATGTCCTCAGCTAGGTGAGCGAGCCGCTTCCCACCGCGCTTGAACGACTTGACCACGTAACGATTGGCAGAGGCAGCAGTGCGGGCATAGAATGCCACACGTAATGCACCTTGGGCAAACGGGTGGTCTCGCTTGTGGACAGTGAGCTCTGTGATGCCCATGGTGATATTGTCGTCGTGGGCCATCATGTCATTCAGCGTGTTAGCATCATGCCGGACCACGTCGGGGGAGAAACCCTCCACCATCAGGGTTTCGTTGAACCAGTCGCGGAGGTGCCACATTGGGGGCACAGTTTCCAGCCGAGTGTCCTCGGCGTCGCCCTCGTCGTGGTCCTCACCAATGGCTCCAAGGGTCGTAGCCAGGTCTGACCATAACTTCTTGCCAGTTGACTTCGCTCGAGCAGTTGACACCCGGACCGCAGTGCGCGATGCCGAGCTGGTGACCATATTGACAATCAGATGCCGCAAGGCGCTGAAAGTCGTACCAAGCTCCGTCTCTTCAAATAGTAGGCTCCCTTTGACGTTACCCTTGGAGAGTCCGCCACCCGGATAAGAGTAGTTAGAGGCGTCGCTGTAAAATTGGTTGGAGCTGAGTAGCACACAGTCTGCGGACGCTGCGGAGTAAGCTTCGTGGAAGGCAAGGGCCATGCGATCAGTGCTACTATTGATTCGGAGAAGAGCGTAGTTGATGCTGAGGCCAATCATCTGCTTGAGCATCGGCTCGAGGGTGATCCCGTGCGGACAATATCCGACATTGGGGTAGCGATCGTCCTTGCAGGGCTTGTTCTGCAACTTGTGGCCGTGTGGTGGGGCATCCGCGATATGGACAATGCACCGCGTCTGTTGCTTCCACGACGCGTTGAGCGCTTGTCGAAGCCCGCCTAGAACGTCTTCGGGCTCATCATTACCACCAGTTGCTGCCAGACCGTTGAGGAAGGCGTGCACTCGATCGACATTCGAAGTAAAGTCGAGAAACTGGATATTGGGTGTGTCCCCATGATCTTTGTACCCCACCACCGCGAAGCGTATTTCGGCTTCATTCAAAAACGCCAGTTTGATGTCTTTCATAATACTCCTGACTTGATCCTTGGCTGCCTTGATGTGATTCAACATTGAGCCTGTGGTGTCCATGAGGAAGAGCAGGTCGGTTGAGCAGACGGCTTTGAACATTCCAGCCGCGGAACGCCTTCCGGAATTGACACCAGATGCACGCACTTCCCGTTTAAGCTGGAGCTCCCGGAACTTGGCCTCCGTGGCAGATAAGTCCGCCTCACGTTTCAGCCGATCTGCGACGGCGCGCTCTTTCTCCACATCTCGACTCAACTCAGCGACCTTCATCTCAGCTTTGCGAAGTCGCTCCCGGGTTGCTGAGGATGTGGATCTGGTTGCCAAGGTGGAGGAGGACGACAAAGAAGGACTCGACATGGGGCCTCCTCTCATCATCGAAGCCTCGGATCGGAGGCTTGCACGACGGGACGAGGAAGACAAAGTCCCTGCTCCGGATCTTTCTCTGGTGGAGGATTGTGGTGTGTTGGAGTACGGCAGGACGGTGTTTTCACTTGACGAATTAGATGAAGGATTCTGGGAGAGCGAAGAGCGCAGCATTTCTTCCGCCACGGACCGGATGTCATCGGGCGAGGCGCGGGAGCGAGACATGGAGCTCGACACGAGGTATGGAGGCAGGGCGGGCATATTGGCGCCGCTGTGATATGTGGGGGGTCTCGAGGGCATGGTTATGGAGAGGGTGGGAAGGTAATGTGACAACGTATATGGGGCCTAACGGGGGTTTAAATAAAAGTGTCAAAGCGGGAAGGTTGTCCCTCTTCCTTCGAGGCTTCGACTACACCAAGCTCGGTCGCCCACGGTTCTTCCCAAGTCGCGCACGCCTTGGCGTTCATAGAATCAATCACTCAGCCACACACTGGAGCCAATAATGTATCTTGCATGATAGGCGTTTCATTCTGCCTTGGAGGCTACCAATCGAACTTTCGCGGCAGGTAAGGCAGAATTCTGACTCGAGAGCGCCAGCACACCATCTCGGTGTATAGATTCCGTAAAGCGCGTGATAATGCAGGCCGGAATCACGAGTACGTGGCACGACTCGAGAGGTAAGGCTGGAAGGTACTTGCAATATTGAAAGGTGAAAAGTAGTGACCAGAAAAGATGCAAGGCTGGGAGAGTGGTCGAAATAAGGCTGCTCGATTGATGGTCTCACTAGTAAGCGGCTCGCTAAGGCTGCGGTCACCCCAGCCTCCGTCATGTGAAATTCTATGTCCCTGCTAACAGCCAGCTTCCATAGCTTGAAGTAGGAACGCCGTTTAAAGCTTTCTGAGGACACAACTACAGAGACCGACCCATCTGCGGTACCGGCGAAGAAGAATGAGCCATGAGCCAGTCTAGCTTTCTTACAATGAGCCTTGATTTTCGTTCGGAGAAGACGAAAACCCGCTGAAGACACACAGCAGCTGAAAATTTCATTCGATGTATGCTCGGTGCTGGTTGTGCTGCAGTCGCTGAGCCACTCCTCAGAACTATGGGTAGGGTATGGACAGTACAGCGATCTAAGCTCGGCGGTTTGGGTGACGGGAGCCTGCTGTGGTGCTCGGTTCGGATTTGGGGTCCTGGGTGGAGGGAAGCGAGGGTACTGGGGATTGAGGCTAGGCGACTAGAAGTGGAGGGGAGCAATCGTGTACAGTGAGCTTGAGGTGTTGCGAGGCCGTGATAGGAGAATTGTTTTAGGAGTTAAGCTTGCAGCCTAACCGAGATGCGAAAAAGGGTAATTTCCCGAGGCAAATTACGGTAACATTTCTCACTTATCATCGTATTGCTCTTAATAGAACCAAAATTTTGTCGTCTAGTGTGGGTTTGAAACGTGCGCTCGCAATCCTGAACGGTATACCGAGAGTTTCTCCGTTCCATAATAATTGATTGATAGAAGGTTGCAAAACATCTCCTGAGCATGTACTGTACAAGAAACGAGTCCGGGGCTGAAAAACTCGTATACAGCTAAACACCCTTTACCCCAAAATATCAAGTCACTTCTGTTGCGCTGTACCCCGCAGTTGCCTGTGAGGAGGGCATGTTGTTTTGATTACCAGGTTAATTCCTGAATTTTGTGCAAAGATAAGGACAGAACGTACCGCTAATAGTAATGAGTCGCGACCAGCATGTGGCAAGTAAGTTCTCCTGGATATTTAGAAATGATATTCCATCCATCCAACATGCATTGGGCCTCTATCTTATTATTAGAATGTTTTTTTTATTTCACAAGCCGGGCAGGGTGTTTTTCTTTTTGGGTCTAGTCGACTTACTACTAAATTGCTCGCGCAGCCATATGCACCGAAATCACAACCCTGTCAAGCCACAAGTGCTACGGGTTGTATTTTAGGCGTGGGAAATAGCGAATGCCAGAGAATTAAGGACAACGCTAAGGAGCGGAAGCGTAGTGAGCTGCATAGTGAGAAGATAATGATTGAGTTTGAGATTGGTATTTCAGGGGTAAAGAGCTCGATGTTGGGCTTTTTGAATGAGAAAACGGGCTATTGTAACGTGAAATGAATGACAACTAAAAGAAGGATGATTCAAGTTTTTGGGGTTGAGTCCGCAATCAAAGATGTGTCTTGTGGTTGCTCCCTTATAATATGCAGTCCAGTGCCTCGAAGAATAGTGCTAAAGGGTGTATAAAGTATAATCTTTTGCAGCGCTGCATCCAAGGGGCTAGAATCTGTGATACTCTAGTATTCGAAGTCCCTATACTAGTTACAAAGAGCTGTGACTTAGCCGTTCTCTCGTGCCTCTGCCATTAGGCCTGTGGTTCGCTCTTTCTCATTGCGCCCTGGCCGCGGCTCTGCTTCCTCGAAGCATACTCAACCTCTTATTATGTAGAGAAGCAACATGTGCAATTTGGCAATGACAGCGATAACAGGCATTAAATGAGAAGCTTGAGTAGAGGTTAGGTTCAGAATAGCTTTTGATGAGTTTATAGCTCTTGCAGGACACGGAATGAACATTTTAGCATTGAATTTTTGCATATTTTCGGATGTTGAAGTTAAGATGGTTCTTTGTTCCTTAGCCTATACAAACAGGGCCTTTTCCACTGTTAGCTAGTACTGAATTAAGCTATATACCACTTAGTTTCAAAACTGGAGACATCTGAAATCTGAAAGGAATCGAAAATAGCTGTGACATCACTGGATGTGAATTTGTCCAAGCGGTATACGGAGTAAGAAAGATCGAATCTGTAATATTAAATATTGGTTCGAATTAGTAGATAACCTCTCTCGGAATATACAATTCCTCAATATAAGCAACCTCCTCTTCTTCCAGCTCAAAACGAACTGACGCGACCGCTTCATCAATCCGTGCCGTACTATTCATTCCAGCGATGGGATAAACATGCTTCTTGAAGAACCAAGCAAGCGCTACCGTTGCCATGTTGACTCCGCGCTTCTTCGCAATCTCCTCCACACGACCCACAATGAGCTCATCCACACCATTAGTAGCACTTCTCACCAGAGAGGCTAGCAGCTTATCAGTTTGCTCTCTTTTCGATGATCTTTCCCTCCACGGGTGCGCCAGGACACCCCTTGCCAAGGGACTCCATGGAATGATACCCACTCCGCTGTCTTGACAGTATGGTATCATCTCCCGCTCTTCTTCACGGTACAGAACATTGTAATAATTTTGCATAGAGATAAATGAGTGCCAGCCATTTCTCGCAGCGATATTCTGAAGCTTTTGAAACTCCCATGCCGCCATTGAGCTTGCGCCAATATATCGGACCTGTCCACTTTCCACAACGTCATGCAAAGCCCTCATGATCTCTTCAGGTGGCGCCTCTCGATCCAACCGATGAATTTGGAGTACGTCGATGTAGGTTCCAAGCCTTTTGCAGCTGGCTTCGACGGCGTCAAAAATATGCTTTCTGGAGAGCCCAACCCTGTTCACAAACCCCTGCTTGTCCTTAAAGCCGAGTTGGGCTATGGGAGATTGTCCAACAGGGTCTAGAGCGTAATACACCTTACTGAGGATGACTACCTGGGCACGCGGTATGTCATATTTCGTGAGGGCTTTCCCGATGATCTCCTCTGACCGTCCATTCGAGTAGACATCTGCCTGTAGGAACTGATTAAATTCTTTGAAATCTTTTGGGGTCGGTGGGGAAAGGGAGAAGGAAAGGGGTTTGAGCTGACAGTGTCCCAGGTATTGATTCCGCATTCAAAAGCGTACTTAAGTAACGGCAACGCGTCTTGCTCTTCCAGGATCCATTCTTGCCAGTTCGAAGATCCAAACCCGGCAGTTCCCATGATAATCTTGGAAATGTAAAGTCCAGAGTTTCCCAATCTATTCCAATACATCGAAGCATCAGCAATCATTCCGCATGAACATTTAGGGTTCAGTACCTGGTGTACTCCATGATGAAACCAAACCTTCCGATTGAGTTGCTTTCTGAAAATTACATATAATTGAGAACAAAGCTTCCTATATAAGGATCTGCAGGCATAGAAGGAAAGTGGAGCGGGATATCTCTCGGAGTGGTCTGGCGAGAAGCCGCGATACGTTCGCTAAGAGTACACTAGTAGCCTTGCTAAGAACCGAGATACCTAGAGGGAATCACAGGGGATTTCGAGGGTATGTAACTTGATTGTAGGAAAATCAGCGTGACCATAGTAGCTTGGAAATTCCAAACTGGGCAGATCCAGGCTACAACTTCCGCCTACATCCGTACACGGTAATTACTCACGTGCCTGGTACTACATATTCCAACTCGAGATCGGCAAGAACATCTGGTCGTTATTCAAAGGCTCAGAGATTGTAAAAGCGCAAGGTTTTATTATTTTGGGATGGTAAAGGACTGCTAGAGCTAGAAGTCCTACAATCAGGCCTCTTTTCGCTAGCATGTATCAACAATATGGCAACAGAGGGTTTGAACAACTTCCGGGAATGAAACTCTGACTAGTCTTAGTCACATCTGGCTCGAAGACCTGTGCTGACGGATCTAGAATATGATCTATTATATGCACAAGGCCCTTGATCGACTCAGCTTCAGTCGAGATCTAGCGATTGGAGTACTTACACTCGTGACCGGTAAGTCAGCGCTCGTGACCGCGGAGACGTTATTTAGAATCAACTGGCCGTTAAGTGCCTGCGTTCCCACATACAAAAAACTCCCAGTTTGGATGCGGGTGTATGAACTATTGAACGCAGAGCTTTTGAGCTGGGTATTGGGAATATAATGGTGCTGGAACAAGTTTCCTAGCCACCACTTTCCCTTGAAGGTGGCTGCATAGGTCGAAAAGTAGGCGCCAGTGTTGTTGAAAGCCGCGTTAGAGGGTGCAAAAAAGGTGAAAGACCAAGTTGGAATGGTATGGAAAGCCTGCGAGAAGCCTGTAAGTTCCGTTAGCACTTGGTTCAAATTTGTAGGCTGTAGCAATGAGAGATATAGATTATGCCTTTATATCCCTAGAGAAAGTGAGGAAAGGCACATTTACCGCCGCATTCTGTTATTAAATTGGCAAGAATAGAAAGGTCGCTGCGTGACTTAATAAAGTCTAACAGGGTGGTAATACTGGCATTTACCGATGGCGTATATATGCCTTCGGGAAGCGCAGCATAAGTGAGAGCTTGACGATCACTCCTGTCAGCTAGCCCAGTAGAAGCTAGCAAGAAGGTAAAGATAAGACGAGAAAATTTCATGGCAGAGAATCACGAAAGTTTGGTCAATGGAACAAAGACGAGCACTGCAATTCGAGGTGCCTTTTAATGTTAAGATCACTTGAGACTTGGAATGCACAGGTTGTGTAATTTCAGTGGTCGGACCCAAGTAACAAGAAGTTACGGGGTTTTTTAGTTGTTCGCGGAGCAACTCCGGTGATCTTTCCACGGGCATTTCCCCGCACCTCCACACCCCGAGCCTTCGTCCGCCAGGTTGACCAAGTTTAATTGGTGGGATTTTCGGCACAGATAAACTACCCGAGAACCACATTCTATACAAAAGCTAATACCAAACAATATACATAGCTGGCAATTTCGTTCTCGAGTTGAATGAAAATGAAGAGAGGATTTATGCCATCGACGAGAATAGTTTCAAAGCCATGGAGCTAATCGCTCTTTGCCTGATAATCAATTCCCTATGTGTTGCCAGTCGCCTTGCAGTCAAACCTCAAATGGGTTAGTGGTTTCAAATTTTTTCCTCAACTAGACCGGTGGGTCAGATTCTTGGTTGACCCGGGAGTGAGTTTATATTCGACAACGAAAACCTCTTAAAAGTTGAGAAACGAGTGCTAACACCGAGGCGATAGGATGGAATAGTTGGAACACTTTCAAGACCAACTTCAATCAAAGTACAATCGAAGATACAGCATCGACATTGGTGTCAACCGGATTAGCTCGCGCAGGGTACAATTATGTTGTTCTAGATGAAGGTTGGCAAGCTCTGACACGGGACTCGCATGGGCGCCAACAACCAAATGCAACCAAGTTCCCTTCGGGGATATCATATTTGGCGGACTATGTTCATAGGCTGGGGCTAAAACTTGGTATTTACAGGTAAATAATATCTCTAAACACCTTAAGACCTTTTCTCGCTAAATTGGAGATTCAGTGATGCGGGGATATATGACTGCGGATTCTATCCCGGGAGTTACGGTTTTGAAGAAGTCGATGCGGATACTTATGCGACCTGGGGCGTAGACTACCTTAAGTATGACAATTGCGGTGGATTCTACGCCAATACCGTTTCTCCCCAGGAAAGATTTCTGACGATGAGCTATGCACTTAAAAACACGGGTCGCGACATATTCTACTCACTATGTCAATGGGGAAATCAATTCCCTTGGTTTTGGGCGGACCAGTTCAGCGACTCATACAGGATGTCTGGGGACATCAAGTCTTCTTTCAACTCCGATAGCAGTGGTGTCTGCAAGACAGCCTATTGTTTGAATACAGGATATGCCGGAGTTAGCGTTTTGACCATGATTAGGAAAATGCGGGAGATATCTGCGTTTCAAGCACCTGGATCTTGGGGTACTTCATCCCGATTCAACACAGTTTGGGAAATGCCGTACTGACAGATTACAGCGGATATGGACATGTTAGAAATCGGTACGGGCACGATGACTGAATTTGAAGAGCGGACGCACTTTTCTTTTTGGGCGGCCTTGAAGTCTCCCCTCATCATTGGTGCCGACATTACGAAAATCTCGAGCACTTCGCTTGCTATTCTCCTTAACAAGGAGGTGATCGCAATCTCTCAGGACGATGCTGGGATTGCTCCTACTTTTCTGCCAAATATCTCCGTCGAGGGATCAGTTCAAGTCTGGGCAGGACCTTTGAGCAGCCAAAACTCCAAATGTGTCATCCTTGCGTTAAACTATGGGAACAACAGCACCGACATAACAATACCATGGGGCCAAATTCCTACTTTGCAGAATTTCAAGAGTGCACAGTTGAAAATCAGAGATGTATGGGCTGAGCAGAATCTAAAGACTACTGGAATGGAGATCAAGTTGCTCAATGTCAGTAGTCACCAGACAAAATTACTGGTATTGTCGGCAATTCAGAGATAACAATGTGAAGTACGCTGAAAGCACACTCTAATGTGTCTCTCAATTGACCTGTGGAATCATTTTCACGATGTAACTACGATTATAATGTGATTTGGAACCGAAAGGAAAGTCTAGACTTCCCAAGTTACAAGAACTGATATCGGCATTTGGGAGTGGAAGTGGACACAGATCGCTCTTCCGAGCAACGGTCATCGGAAGAACTCGTGGCACTCGGATCTTGGATAAGATTGCATCTACAGTTGACATGCTGCCAGTACTTCGGCGGTGGAGAGAAGTAATGACTCGAAGCATCAACCAAGCCTAGCAGCCCAGAAGAGAATCAATGGTGAGGTGCTGTCTGCTAGCCACGCCTCGGCCGTATTCGCAGCACAAAGATCACGGCATAGAGTGACGGGATTACAAGCCATTTGGGCTCTTGGCATCCCCCAGGGCACAATTTAGGGGGTTGAGCCCGCTGTAAGGCCCTACAACCTCAGGTCATACGCCCCAAGCAGCTCTCAAGAGGCGCTATGAGATACTCGTAAGGTATGAGAAGATCTTTAGTGATAAATAGCGCTTGGACACTAAAAAGGTAGGTACTATAGGGCTCTTCAGCGAGGTACCTCTTGTAAGTATAAGGGAGAAGCCCTAAAAATGTGTGGTACTCCTCGCCCTCGTCTTGTAGCGTGTTTTAAGGGCAATGGCCTAGAATTATAGGGCAAATTAGTAACCGAGTGCGCTAGAAACAGATACTGAAGTGCTTTAAAGCACAAATGCGATGTAATCCCGTCACTTTATGCCGTGATCTTCGTAACGAATCGCGAGACGTCACTGAAGAGAATCCACATCCACATCGGAATCAAGGTTCTCCAGGTAGAATAGGTAGAATATGAATATGATGGCGATTATAGAAATCAGTCACCTCGCTGGCAGAATACCATAGTGAGAAAGCCACTGCACCGGAGGACCCCCGAGACTTTGTCCGGTGTCCGTGATGCCTGCGCCTCTGGTTCAAATGCGGTTTTGACAAGCAGTCGAAGTGCCATGCACCCCTATCAGTGTTTAAATCCGAGTTCGTTAACATGTTTCTGTCCCCGCGAGCCCCCTTCGAGACCAGATAATTGATTTTCTAGTACTTGGGGTTGAGCAAAATGAAGAAATGTGAGCTCGCTAATATTTAGCGAGCCCCTGAGAAAACAAGGAGTACATATCCCTCCACCTCCGCATTTGATCCGAGGCTCAGAGTCGCCGAGAATCGAAAATCCAACATGCAGCTTTCCGATCGATTTTTCCCTTACTTGTTTATGCAGATATCCTTCTGCTTGTTTTAATGTATCTGCGAATAAATGTTGGTCATCGTGCGTTGCAGCCGGGGCCAGCTCGCAAGAGAAGTCAGTCCTCACTGACTACATTTATTTTTGACTGGTTGATCTATCTACCCTCTTTAATACACGAACCTTGTCCACATCTGCCAAGTTTCTATTACGTTCTCAGTTCTAAGGCTGGATTAGATCATGTCAAATATTCAGCTGACAATCATTGATACCAGGGCAATAGAAGTACCAAGAAAAGGCAAACAAGAACTCCTGACACTAACCCTAAGTGGAGATATTAAGCTATAATGAATAACCAGTTAGCGTGGATATGCTCTGAAGTGGATAAGCACTCACTCATTTTGGTTACCAAGTTCATCAGATCTTAGAATTCCCCCACCCCAGATTGTTCTCCTATCATTATTCCGATACAAACCTGGTGCATCATACGACCAGAATAGATCTCACCTACTAGGTTGGTCATTAATCGTCTGGTGTCCCTTCCCACCGCTTGTTGCCGCGTCATACGTCTTCTTCGCTTGGGTTGTCCAGGCGACGGGAGTCCCCTCTTGTCAGCATACAGACAGTACTTCATAAGTGAAGTCTCATATCGGCTCGGTAGGTTTTCGATTGGCGACACCAATCCCGTGAGGAATATTGGAGATTTCAGACCACGGGCCGTTGATAAGGATCGCTTCGCACCATACGGCACGTCATGCCCCCAAGTGGTATTTCTCTGAGTATTCGGCTCTTGGGGGGAGAATCAAATTTGTCACCCATCCCATAGAGATCCCCGCCTTGCGATTGAACAGTACGGGCTCCCTACGCTGTCCAAGAGATGCCCGAAGTGGCGTTGCCTTGGCCTCGTCCGGATTCCGGCGATTGGCCGGTTGCCAGATCGATGTTACCATTGCCCCTATCTCGCCAAGCATCCCAGCCACGGGTTCTGCGGAACAACTCTCGGCTAACCATCCGGGCCCCTCTAGCAATTCTGCACACACTACCTCTTGTCCATCTGTTTGGAAGCAGCCTTAGAATCACCGGATGCCCGCACCAAATCGCATTCTGGGTATGTCAATCCCTGGAGACTTCTCATTTTCGTGGGTTGTCAATTTTCGCCACGTGCTGAGATATGTTGCTCAAACTCACCACCGCTGTCCTGGCCTTGCTCGCAGGGGCTGCTAGGGTAGCCTTAGCGAAGCCGACCACATCACCTCCTCACAATCCCCAGGTCGAGATAAAGAATGGCACTCTTCGCGGGCTGTATCTGCCCGCCTTTCACGAGGACCTTTTCCTTGGCGTGCCTTTTGCTTCTCCGCCAATTGGCGACCTTCGCCTTCGCCATCCCGCTCCCTACGATGAGCACTGGCAACAAGTACGCGATGCTACGCGCAGAAGCCCTTCCTGCCCCGGATATGCAGGCTTCGATGTTGGTCTCGTGCTGGGGGAAGATTGCTTGACGGTTGATATTGTACGACCCGCTGGCACTTCGCATAAAGACAGGCTGCCCGTCTTGGTCTGGATCTATGGCGGTGGTAAGTGGGGGTTTTTTTTCAACCGTTCCTAAATTTTCCACGCTGACCGTAAGGTCCAGGTTTTGATGCTGGTGGGAGTGCGGACCCTAGGTATAACACATCGTACCTTGTCAATGCTTCCGTCGCGATCCACAAGCCTATCATTGTAGTGAGCATCAACTACCGCGTAGGAGGGTGGGGCTTCCTGGGCTCGAAAGAAATGGCAGCAGCTGGTGCACTGAACATCGGTCTATTTGACCAGCGACTCGCTCTACAGTGGATTCAAGAAAACATTGCGGCGTTTGGGGGAAACCGAGAGAAGGTGACTATTTCCGGGGAGAGCGCGGGAGCCTTCAGCGTCGGATATCACTTGACTGCCTTTGATGGGAAGCATAATGGCCTCTTCCGAGCCGCAATTCTGCAGAGCGGGACTGCTCTAGGTCCAGGAAGTGCGTTCATCCATTTTTTAATACCCTTGGCCGGATTCAAAGATATACTGATGCTAATTCGAGGCAGTCAACTCGATCGCTCAGTTAAACACTACGTACCAGCCCGTCTATGATAACGTTACAGAGACGGTAGGATGCGGTAACGCAAGCGACACTCTGGGTTGTCTGCGTACAGTCCCATACTCGAAGCTTTTTGCCGCGTTCGAACCATTCGTCATGACGCCTATTCTTGACGGAGAATTCCTCACCAGGCTCCCGTCCGCATCATTCTCTGCCGGGCTGGTTGCTAACGTTGCAGTGCTCGCTGGCTCGAATACGGACGAGGGGACCGCGACATTCTTCGGGCCGCGAAATAGTCTCAATACAGATGCCGACGTCCATGCTCTTCTGGCAGGGATGGGTAATGGTCTGGATAACGCCACCGTTAGTGAGGCCATGGCTTTGTATCCTGATGATCCGGCGCTAGGTTGCCCATTCGGAACCGGCAGCGAGCGGTTTGCCCGGAACGGGTACATGTACAAGCGCGGCGCAGCTGTCATCGGCGACGAAGTCATCCACGCCGGTCGGAGGCGCACCACGCAGTACTACTCCAGCACCTCTCCATCGTGTCGCAAACCCGTCTACAGTTACCGCTTTGACCAACCGCCCTGGAACGGCATCGAAGAGCTGGTTGCCACCGAAGCACCAGTGTATTCTACCCATTATGCCGAGGTACGTCCCCCAACCCCCCTCGAAGCATAAATCTATGCTAATTCGCTTGTTCGCACAGATCTGCTTCGTGTTCAACATCAGTCCTAGCATTAGTGCCAATAATACAAACTGGATCGGCCCCTACCAAAGCTACCACGATCTTTCCACTTTAATCTCCCGCTCCTGGATCTCCTTCGTCCATGACCTGGACCCCAACAACCATGGAGTCCCGCACGCGCCTCTCTGGCCCGAGTACAGCAAAAGCCACAAAAACATCGTGTTTGCCGTTGGGAACACGATGGTAGAGCCAGATACGTGGCGAACCGAGCAATTGGAATTCTGGATGAGGAATTTTGCGCGTTTGAAGACTTAACCGTTGCTCTCTTCATAAGAGGTTCGGTCGATGCACAATACGCGCTTGAGATCAATTGCTCAATGGCACTGTATCCCAAATGACTTATCCGAGAATACTCTATCGCCTAAACATGCTTTTGCTATGTGATTTAATGTTTCCAAACTCGGATTTTAAAGATGCTCTAGGAGATCAGAATTGTCGTTATTGCCAAGGGGCTACAATATCGTCGTATAAGCCGTGTGGTGAATAGCATGCGCTCCCTGATTCCTAGTACTAGTATCGGCGCTCTACGCACTCCTCACCCTGCGGACTATCGACCAGGTGATAGCGAGTTATCTACAACACCAAGGGTTTTCCCAGCATAAGACATCCTCGCGTGTACTGTATCTCTGAGCATTCAACGTAACAACCTACCCGTTTACGTATACAACAATAGTTTCTCTCCTTAAGACAAAACCGAGTCATCGATCTAAGAAACAGCCAATTCCTCATCATCGAAACCAGATAACGAAAACGCACCCCCTGGACAACAAACAAAGGGTGACCTATTTATCCACTTTACGAACATATGGCAGGAGTTGAGCGCAAAGGAATCGCAATACAAAGTTTTGAACTCTGTGCCGAAGAAAAGAAATCGCGCTCCCGTTTTCGAGAAGAATAAAGTAGGTAGTAAACTCCATGTCATGCTGGATTGGTTGAGCGTTGTCTTGATACTGTCGTTAGCCCATAGAGAGGGGTTGATATATCTTACCAGTAAAGAGTAAAGGAGCGAAGTACTCTATATCATCTCAGCTATGAGCTTGAACCGATTTTCAGCTTATATTAGAGAAACAAGTGATATTGCTCTGAGATCAAATGCTCGGTTCCACAAGATGATCTCTGCATTTCCTAAATAGACACATCTTACCCACTAAAGCATCTACCAGAACAGGAAAGATGAATTAAAATAAACATTTTTAAATACTAATTCCCTCGAGATCTAGATCTTGAAAGATATGGATATAATAGCTCTAAGTGGTATCTCGCAAAAGAGTCTGCTTCCGTTGACCAGCCCTACTCTGGTACAATTACCTATCCAACCGTGACTTATAGAGCTGGAGAAATTGAATGGTAATATACAATGACCCAGGAAATCCCTGCTCTCAGGGAGATTCTCCATGTACCCAGATCCCTCACCTCATGCCACATTGCTCCCACCCCAGCCCCAAACCCCGAGCCATACCTTTCCCTAGATATATATAATCCCAATCCCAACCTCCATCCTGAAACCGGAAAGAAACTTAGCCTTACGCAGCCATCTCACTGATAACACTCTGCGCCGTCCCGGGAGGACCCGCATGCGCCACCAAACTCCCACCCCCACCAGCCTCACCTCCCTCCTGACTGGCATAAAAAGCCTTATCAAGCGGCCCACCCAACATCTTCAGCACATTCCCCGTCCACCTCGTACAATCCACGATATCAACGCCGAACTCCATTCTGCTCAGATCACTCAGTTTCTGCATCGCGGGGCCCGAGTTCGCAAAACTGATAAACTCGACCGTGACCTGCCCTTTCGGGAGGCTTTGCGCTACCAGCCAATCCGCCATCTCGGTGAGCACGGCTTTCGGGTCGCTGCCGGCCTTCCACTCGCCGTTCGTAAGAATGTAGAAGCTCATTGGGCGAACTATCTTCGGTGCCACGCCGGCGATCTTCTCGCGCTTCTTCCTGTCGATGCCTTTTTCCTCGGCGGATTTCTGCTGCTGGTATCTGTGGCGGTAGGTCTCAAACTGCAGGGAGAGGCGCTTGGAGATGTCGGTTGCGGCTTTGAGCTGCGTGGTTTTCTTTTCCAGGTATTGGCAGAGATCAAAGGTGTCTTTGCGGCGCCAGGTGTCGTAGGAGACGGTGAAGAAGAGCTCGGTGCCGTCCGGGGACATGCCCTTTACGGTGTAGGAGAGGGCTTCGAAGAGGCGCTTTACGTCGGGCCAGACGGATGCCATGGATGCGGAGTCGTCGATTATGAAGACCTGTTGAAGGATCAGCGGATAAAGTTTGGGAGGGAAAGGGGGATGATTACATGATCTCGATCGCTGAGCCCCCTGAGTCGGTGGGCTCCTGGTAGCGGTGGTAATCTCTGGTTCTTTTTAATCTTCTTATTGGCGCGTTTCCATTCAAGGCAGGTGTTGAGAGAAAGGTATTCTATGGATGGACCATGTTCGGGGAGGTACGACACTGAACTTGCTGTGTCGGAGCTAGAGTATGGTGGCGGATTAGAGTCCTGCTGGGTAGAGGGGCGGGAGATCTCATGGGGCGAATTTGAATCATTTCGAAATTTGGTTGGGAAAAGAGAAAACCCGAACCCTCGTTTCGTCGATGGTTTCGGGGAGAGCTTGGATTGCTGTCCTTCTTGGATCATGGTCGTGAATGAGACTGAATCGGGCTGGATGCTTCCGGAGTAGACGCTCGATGAATGTTGGCTGCCGGCTCGACTTGGTGCTCGACTTGCAGCTTGGCTTGGGGCTTGACTTTCAGCTTGGCTTGGGGCTTGACTTGCTGCTTGACTGGGCGCTCTGCCGAGACTTGTTCTCTTTTCACTATTGGCAGTTCGGGGATCGACAATGGCATTTCCAATATCCCAATCCGGTTGGGTACGGAAGGTCGTCGTAATTTCTTGCGAGAATATCCGAGCAGTCTCTGTTTTTCGCCGTGGCGCATCGGGAGGTGGGCCGTTGGTGGAGATTGGCCCGTTATTAGGTAGAGGTGGCAGATTTTGCTGCTGGGGTGTAGGTGGAGCTGAGATAGGTGCAAAACCATTTTGCTGCAACGGCATCGGTGGAGTTGGACCAGGTACAAATCCACGGTCGACATAGTCGTTACGCACATTCGTTTGTGGTTGAGTTTGAAATTGAAATTGAGGTGGGATTTGAGATTGACTCAGAGGCTGGAATTGAGGTTGCGGTCGATGTTGAATTTCAAGAGGTGAGGTGACTATATATGCGTTGTCATACTCACTGTTCCTCAGATTTGACGTATGAGACATAGCTTGAGGCGGTCTCCTGTATTCAAACTGCGGGTGGGGGCGAAACATTCGGTGCCTCATAGGTGGTACATCGTTAACACTCGGCTCATACGTGCTGGTATGTGGCGATGATAACGGAGTGGTCGGTGAGGCTTGCGAGTTGTCGTCTACAACTTGCCAACTGGCTAGAGAGCCATTTATCTCTCTGTCAAGATCCGTTTTCACACTTGCAGCACTACTCAACTGAGCGTGGGTCAACGCCGGGCTGGACATATCGCTGGGTGGTCTGGCGGGCTGCGAGCTGCTGACGACAGAAGTGGTGACTTGTGATCGCCATTTCTCCACATTGTTGACTTGCTCCGCAATGGATGATAGCCCAGCTGGCGGGGGCCGTGGAGGGACTGGTAGAGGTTTTGTCGGAGGCAAAGATCGAAGAGGAGGTAAGGATCGGTGTCCACTGCTGTGCCTTGATAACTCGTCTCCAGCATTTGATCCCAACCTTTGACGTGCTCTCGCGAGCACCCCTTCAGCCTTTCTCCACAAGGCTTTCGCATTCGGCCGGTCTTCCTCCCACAGCATTTCTTCCACCATGGAATCTAGGACGTCCTGGGTAATATAATCGGAACGTCTGAGGCGGTCTTCAATCTCTTTGTGCGCGTCAACGACGGATGGCAACACTCGCTCGCCATCATGGAAACAATCCCCACCCTTGAACAAAATTCTATCCGTATCGGCCATTCGTTGTTTTCGATAATCTTCGAGTCCTTTGAACCCATCCGCAATCCACATTGCTGCTTCACTGTATATACAGCCAAGGGACCAGATGTCGGCCGGCCAGGTGACCTTGCCCGAACTCCCTGCTGACTGTTCTTCTGAATTGTACGGTGAGTAGCACTCGGGAGCTTCTACAAAAAGGTCAGCAATTATTCCCCCTGAAGCGAGCTGCTTACCATAAGTCGGGGTATCTTTCATCTCATTGGCCTTTGGTAATCTGTTCTCGGAAATCTCGCCTCTGACATTGCTCGCCCCGAAATCAGCAAACTTGAATAGCCAGTCCGAGGTCTCTGCACCATTGCCGACAACCAGGATATTATCTGGTCTCACATCGAAGTGTCCCCTGCATACATAAGCAGTGAAAGCAAGCAACGTGGAATTGAAAACATACTCTCGAGCAGAATGGATCGCTTTCAAGCCTTTGATAAGTTGAAAGAGGCCCTCCCAGAAGTTGATGATATCCCCCCCACGACTTGGAGGCGATTCTCTCCTAAAGTAATCCTCTAACGAACCTTTATCAGCAAACTCAAGGAGAATATTGTAATTTTCTCCATGGATGTAGCTGCCATAAAACTTGATGATGCTCTCCGCCTGCCTTACACTTCGAAATCCGTTGATTTTCTGGTTGTAACGATGCTCGCCATCCTTGGTTGGGTACCTCTTGAGCAGGAAGGTATTTGCGTTAGGATTGTTCGCCTTGTTCAATTAGCACAGCATGCCCACAGAGCACCAAGCTCTTACCGTTTCTTCCTCACGTGGGATCATCTTGTTATGAGGTCCATAAACCTGGATGACATATTTATTAGAAATTCCATCGCCTCCACGGGGTTCTTTGCACGTGATCGGGAGGAGTCGCTGATTTCCGAAATGCTTGTGGAGCATATGGGCGTCGAACATAGGAACGCAGTACATCCTCTGCTTTTCACAAAACCGCCGTAGAAACGTTGGATCGTCGTCCGGTGGAGGAAAACCCACGGGTGGGTGAGTCTCATCAAAGGGGAGCCGCCGATCTGAAAGCTCGTCGTACCGGGCAAAATGCTCGATGTAGGTCCCTCGCCCAATTCGCAGGAGGATGGCAAACACTGCGACGTGTTCCCGCATAAGAAATTCTGCGTCCACGGGTGGATACCTGGTTGCAAAGACCTCGCACAGGATCTTGTTCAGCTTTTGGCAGTCATCAGCGGCGAAATAGGCCTTGAGAGTATCCAGTGGCATGAAGTAGGCCATTCCATCCCCCGCTATATCCTCGACTACCTCCACCCATGATTGATTCTCCCACTCGAAAAAGGCATCCAGAGCCACATGTTGGCGAGGCTGTGACATTTAGGCGGCAGTTGACGACCGTCCGGGAACCGCACCGTGGGTCTGAGAGCGCAAGTCAGACCGGATGCTGCAGATATAATCCGGGTGCTGGTGACGATGATCATCTGCACAAGGCTGTAGGTTGTTGGAGGCACGGGATGTTCGAAGGAGGGGACGAGGTCGCATTTTGGGAAAGAAAGATCTCCATTTCGACCGAAAAAGCAAGGGGGCCGGCTGTGGCCTACTGGGGTGATGAGCGTCCCGACCTGGTCAACGGGGGGTGGGGCGTTCCATTGGGTTGGCGACGGCAAGTGAGTGAGCCCTGCGGCTGACCCTGTCGCCTAGGGTGCGAAGTGTGGTTTGACGACAGGAGAAGACATGCCGACCCTCTTCTGGCGGTGGGCATTGGTCGGTTCAGGGGGGGCCAAGACGACTTCAGACATCCCTTCAGAATTTGCCCCCCCGCAGATCGAGCCGTGCTGCAGTCAGGACTCAGGACACGGGCCCTTGAACATTGGATGGATGGGGGCCTGTGGAAGTGAAGTGCTCGAAAAAGATACAGGAAAGCCGTTTTGATAGGGCCGGGGATACCACCTTCCCAACAGGGCCCAGGAAACCATTAAAACGCCACAATGCGCTCTGGGCAAGAGAGTGAGTGCCTCCGCCACTCTCGGTAGACGCGCCACAATCAAGTCCGTGGGATATTGAGCCCCTTGGTTGGCTGTTCCTCCACATGTCTCTGTCGTGGCGTCCATATCACTTTGCCTCCCGGTATTTCTCGAAGACATGGACTTTTTGCATCGCTTTTTCTTGCTTTCGTTTTCTCCTGATCTTCCTCATTGATACACGTTCCAGACGTTGGGGGGGCGAAAAACCAAAAAAAAAAAACGGGGTGGGAAACGCACTTGTGAGAGGTTGTCTGACTGACGAATCTCCTTTGAGCATCTGAGCACGTGGGTGACTGTCGGCCCTTCGAAGGCTACTTGCCAAAACACGCCATCGCGGACGGGAGGATCTTCCCCCAATTTCACGTGTCAGCGAAATCTTACCCATGGATGGGGAAAAGGATGCTGCTCGGGACGAAAGGGAGACATGTGGAGGATGAAGAAGTGGAAAGGTTGACCGTCGTCGTGAGGGAAGTTATGTAATCTCGCTTAACTTAGATCACGTGAATTAAAGTTCGCTCCCCTTGAAGGGGAAACATCGAGTGTGAGCCCGAAAGTGTCGTTAACGGGTAAGGACACGGTATGTTGTCATGGTAGCGGAACAGCCAAACATAATTCCCACAAAGGCAGAAAGGGAAAGGAGTGCCAGCATCTCCCCCGTCATCCCAATCTTTTTCCTACACAAGCCAGCTCGTCCCCTCCCCCGGGAAGCGCAACAAATCTGCAAGATGGAAGACGGAAACGTGGAGCCAAGCTGTTCTGCCGATGCAGGAACAATCGTAGAATAGTTCTGGAACCGCCCACGGAGCGAGGAGGATAGAATAGCCGAATTCCAGTGTCAATCCCACCTCTCCTGGTCCCGCTACGCCACGTCCCCCACTCCCAGCCCTACCCATACTGGTATCAACCACCGCTGGTGCTATCTCCCCTTTTGACGAGTCTTTGAGTCATTTGCCTTTATTACAGGTGATGGCCTAACACCTGCTCAAAATCCGAGATGTGATTGGTGACAACCTCCATTATAATTGACCGGAATGTCTTGGCCAAACCTGGGCCAGCGTTGGTGAACAGCAGATGCGGAATTTCCTCTTACCAAGGCACGAGCCCCATCGCATCCCTGCCTTCAATGCCATCTCCCAACTCCCTTCAGTTATGTAGTCGCTTATCTGCAGGTCACGTGCAACATAGCTCGCCCCCTGAATGGGAAACATACGACCTAATGCTCGAGAAACCGCGTAAGGATTACAAAGAGTTGGAGTTGGGTGGCGCATCGTATTGTTTACGGAAAGCCGTAAGGATCAAAAGACCAAGTGAGCTTACGACTTATGACTTACGACTCAGCACGGGCTCACCCTACCAAAAATCGCAACCCACATACCACGCCCACATACCACGCCCCCTCTCCCTGTGCCTCTATTACTACTTACAATATTTACTCTCTTTAATTCTTCTCTCACTCTCTCTATAAGTATAATAGTAGGAGAGGGGGGGTATAGGGGGAAAGGGGGGTAAGGGTAAGGAGGGGACCTTGCTAAAAATTTACATTGCAAAGTATTAAATTTTTAGTACTTATAGCTTCTAATTTAGCAATTGTTGCCCTAAAATTTAGCAATAAGCAGCCTATAATTATAAAGCTTCCTTCTCCTCGCGACTCGCATGCCCAAAGCTTCACTTTTCACTTTTCATAACTTGCTCGCTCGCCCTCCTCACCCCTCTCTCTTATATATATTCGCATAAATAAAAATTAAATTAAAGAGAGAGTAATATTTTTAAGTAGTAATAGTAAAGGCACAGGGAGAGGGGGCGTAGTATGTGGGCGATTTTTGGTGGGGTGAAGCATGCGAGTGCCGAGTCGTAAGTCATAAGTCGTAAGTTCACTTGGTCTTTTGAATCACATACAGAACAAACAATGTCACCACGAGAGGCCATAGGGTGAGTTTTTACGCATGTTGCTAAGAGGAACCTGTCCTCGCAAGAAATTTTACAAGCAATAGCAAAGGTTTCTGCTCAATAGGCTTCTTAGCCGGTTCTCATATTATCCGCAAGAACTATGTTGAAGGTTGCTAGCAACCTCACTTGATGGGTTCTTGTTCCAATACACTGACCGTTCATTCGTAAACTCTGGAGACTTTTGAGCCTCTTCATCATCTAGGTGAATCGAGGAGTTGACCTCTTTCGATGGCGGCTCTGGAAAGTCCAAGGAAACGTCCGACATTGTGGAATTGTCGCATGAGTGAGGTTTTTCTTTCTCTCCTATTTCACATTTTAGCCAAGCCTTGAGAGTGTTCGTAGAAGGTGGAGATCTACTTACCCTGACAGAGGCGTGTAAAGAATGCGGTCACTGCTGGAAGCCATGTGAGAAGTGCAACAACTTGCCCAAAACCCCATGTTGAACTTGACCAGTCACTCCCTGCCATTATAAACATGGCTTCGCGCAAATTTCGGAGCAGCGCGACATGAAACCATGCCATCGCGATGGGAATTAATGACACGACGGTGACGTAAATCTTCCGTCGCTTGGTTAAGAGCTGAACCTCGAAGCTTGGCGTGTAGACAGAATATAGAATACAAAAAAAGACAAAAAGCATCATCGCGTAGGTTGCCGAAGACATCCGCTGATAGGTTTCTGCCGTGGGCCCGTTTGAGAGAGCATTGAGCTGATTTTGGAGGCATACTTGGTCCTTCATTCCGGTTTGACCAGTTGTCGCAAAAGTGATGAGTTCGGGTATGAACAAGAGCATGAAGCTGCAAAAAGAGCAGAGAGTAATAGGCAGACTTTTTTTTCGGACGACTTCATGCTTCGTTATCAAAAGCAATTCGAGGAAGTTGAAGAATGACGTGACAACGATTATTTCGGAAGCATACGCGCTGTACTGACTCCAGTCCGTGCCGAACCGTAATAACAGATTGGCCAAAGGAAGGCTGAGCAAATAGTACATGGCACCATCTAGGAGGTTCCCTGAGGCATGTTGAAATGAACTCAAAATCCTTCCAGGAATCTTTCCCCAACCACGCAAGCAGGAAAATTCGAAGGACAGCCAAAGGATAGATACCAGTGCGGTCTCGAACAGATATATGGCAAAGACCTGAAGACTTCTGTTAGTAAAATCAAACTGGCTCAGGTTGATACTTACCCCGATGCCATCAAGGTCAGGAATCCCACTGAAACCCGCTGCGCGACACACTTGCGGTCGACAAGCGTCGAATACGGAGCGTGCAAACTCAGTAACGTTCGATACATCGGAATGAACAAAGATATTTTGGTACCACCGAACAACTGCTCCATCAATGAAGCCGGAGTAGGTTGCTGGTATCATCCCAGGCCCGAGCTTGCCTAGGTCGAGCATGGGATTTAATGGAACCAAAAAGGTTTTCCAGAATTGGACCTCTTCTTTGGAATATTGTGGACAGTGATAATCCAAGAGGGAACTATCCAACTGATTGATAGCCGTATCATTCAAAGTAAGTAAGAAAGGGACCGTGGCGCTACAATTGCTAGTAAGGTTGAAATCTGACAGTTTGATTGTGAACATTTCCGGCCCGACGCAGGCTGAATATATTTCCCACAACGCACGCTGGTACCAGGTGATGTTTACAAAGGTCCAGTTGTACGAACTCAAGCCGTTCGGGTTGACTGCCATAGAAAGATTGGCTCCATTTATCCACAGCGTTGACATTTCCGCTTGCAAAATGTTGAGGACAGCTGAATTGTCCGTGTATTGTGTAGGAAGTGCAGCCTGAAGGAAATCGAGATTTAAAGTGCTGTTGCCGTATGGCTTATAGGCATAAGTGTTATCGCGATGGGTGGGGCGACTAGTGTTCAGGGCTGTTGAATTCAACACTCTCCAGTATTGCGAAGGGTTGTTGACATCATACCAGTCCATGGCAATCGTGCAATTCGTGGCGAAATTGAGGCCGATGACGATATTTGCTGCGTTGAGAGCAACATCTGTGAGGTTCACATCCATAGTAGGTAGAATGGTCGGCCAATGAGCCAAAGACAACTACCATGATGTAAAAACAGAAATGGAGGTGGAAACAAGCTGCTAAGCCCTGAGTTGGACGCTGCCGCCATATTTAACCATCTGACAATTCCTGTGGAACGGAAGGTTGTCGTACAAGAGATGGGATTCTTTTTAAAATAGCTTGATAACTGCTGCAACAGTGACGACGCACGAAACTGACGCAACCATTATGAAAGCCATTTTTTATGTATTGGATCTCAGAGATGAAGTGAATTGCATAGTTAAACTCATATGCTACACTCTTACGCAATTCTATTTCCGTCAAGAAGCGATGCCGCGTGGATGGACTGGGCTTGACAAATGCCATATCGAGGCTTTGCTCGGCCAAGCGCTTGCTGCAACATTCTGGTAGGTAGGATCAGTAGAATGGCCCTACAGATCGAATTGAAGTATTGAGAAGGGCTGAGTTGGTGGGCTGCATAACTGCCCGCAGTGTCTCAGCCTTACGAGAAAAACATTATTCTGTGGAGTTCACACTCACCTGCTAAGCTGCTTTCACTATGTTGCTACAAAGATACTACATCATTGGGAATTAATTCTTCCTCGCCTTAAATATCAAGTTGCTTTGTGAAGACTTCTAATAATTTTAGGATTTCTATTCTCAACAGGACTAAAACTCTCGCTTCGTTGTTAGCTGAGTTTGAACATAAAAGGGGGTATTTTTAGGTAGAGACGGATTTGAGAACAAGGTGCACACAGAACAACACATGGATGGCATGGCAGAAACAACCTGTAAAAATATGTAGCTACATAAGTTCCTTTCACGCCGGAGAAGTAATCCCTAAGATTACTCCCATCCAAGTTAACTCAGCCATCGAGCTAAAAGGTTGAACATAGTTTCGGGGGCAAACAAGTCAAGCCCATCAATAAGTCCAGTTTCAAAGTTTAAATCCGTTCGCTGTCATGAACGGTCACCCCGACAAGCGGGTAGGTCTGAATGAAGGCTGTTCCCGTTAACGGCGGTAAGGGCCATGCACCCGGCCTGTATTACCACCTGGAGTTTCAGGCTTGGCACTGCTGGGCCATTAGAGGACAGCAGACTGAGGACTTGATTTAAAGGCTCAGATCAAGCACCCACCGAGTGCGTGTTGTGTCTATTTTGAAGTATATGCTATTTTCGGCGCTGTCGTTTAGATGTGTCTGGTGAAGGAGGCTGTTTCGCTAATGTCAAATGCTTACTTTCAAAACTTTAAAATTTCCATCGAACGAGCAGACGCAACATTAGAAAAATAATGAACGGGTAAATTACGAAGCATTCAATTTCTTAATACTATTAACTGGAGGATTGATTGACAAGGGAGTGTTTATGTTTTGAGGTGTTACGAGTGAGTGTTGGAAGTAAGTGACATATTTAGTATTCCCCTCTTGGAGAGAAAGGGGTGCGTGTGCGGGGTACACACTTGCCTCTTGAAACGATTCAAGAAGAAATGAGAGACAACAAATAAGCTCGATGTTTGTATTGTTATTACATCCTGTTAAAAGCACCACTTCCTCAACAAACATTATTTATGCGAATGTTTCTCATGCACATGAACGAATATGCTTACTTCACCTTCAACACAAAGAAATGAGTTCCCAGATCTCTGGTACTCTCTTCATCCAACCCCACGCCACTCACAAACAGAACTTCAAGGCGCTATTCATCCCTCAATTCAAATCCTAAAAGGCCGTCAGCTCAAGGTCTTTCTCCCACACACAGGTGAATCGCTTACTCGTCCTGGTACTCGTGAGAAACGTATTCTTAGCTTATAAATGATCTCCGTGACTGTAACCGTAACTAATTCCGGAGGAGGACGACCCCAGAAAGCTAAGTTTGCGAGAAGGCCGGTAGGTTGGGCACCGGCGCAGTCGGCTGTCTTTTGCGAACGCTTCTTCCAGAAGGTGTGGAAGGGGAGAGCGAGGGCTGCGTTGAGCTCGGTTTGTTGGGGGCACTAGCTGCTATAGGGTCCATTGGGGCCGCCATCCGTGATTTCGGGCTCAAAGTCGTCAATTTCAGTGTCCCATTTGACTTTTGGGGCGGCGTCTCGTTTGTTGAACGAGTTCTCCTCATATGACTAGCTGTCGCCGACATCAGTGGTTTTCAACTTCGATTTCAAAGCCGTCAGTACTCTCTTCATCTTGGGGTTCGGCGGCCCGTTTGCTATACCATGTTGTGCGCGGGGAATACGCTGTTGTTGGGTGGCGATGGCGGGATGTTGCGTACACCGTGGTGGTGACTGTCTCGTCATCATAGCCGTAGTCGGCGGTCGTGGATGCGGGTTACCATCATCCTCACCAGTCATATATAGTGGGCATGGGATCGGGGCTAGGTACTCTGTGGTGGTGAAGGGATTAAGCCAGACCTGGTACTTGCGCTTTGCCCCAGCCCCCCATCCGCCATAATCTCCATCACCGGTACTCGTGTCGTCTCCGTTATCATCTATGTCTGTGGTGATATACACAGTAGTGGGCTTGGCCTGTGTGTCAAATATTGTGATTCTAGATGGAGTACCAAAGACAGTAGTTGTTGGGTTCCTCGTATTGGTCGTCTTCTTCTCTGTCGCTGTCGGTGGTAACCCCATTATAATAATTGGTAGTAAGGGATATTTTGGGTCACTGTGGCATAGACTCGCGAATTGGCCTTTGCCGTGGTTTTAACTGTGCCAACGGGCTTTGGCGCAGTCAAGGTGACATTGAGCGTGTAGTTGTTTACATAGTATAAGCCATAATAAATTATTATTAATAATTACCGATTAGTAATTATTAGAGGCCAATGAATAAATAGTTAATAGTAATTAATAATACTATTAATAAAAGTGGGCCCAATTACTAAGCAAGCCTTATTATTTCTTTGTCTAATAAAACATGTCTAGTACCAAGTATTATAGCTAAGTAATATATACTTGCTTAATAATTTTAGCTATAATACCTGGTACTAGACATGTCTTATTAGATAAAAAAATAAGAATATTTAGCTTTCTAGTTTAATAATAAACTAATTAATATAAAGATTAATATAAAGAAATTATTATAAGTATAATATTATATTTAATAATAATATACTAATAATTACTTTAGTATTATAAAGTAAGTAACTAGAATTAATTTATTCTTAAAATACAGGAATTTATTTGCTTTATCTAAAACCCTAATATAGAATTAGTTTAGAATATTAGTTTATTATTATATTATTTTCCGGTCTAATAAGATATTATTATATAACTAGTATATATTTCTCAAAATAGCTTTAGCTATAAGTAAAATTCGAATAAGATTAGAATTCTCGGTATTTTTACTAGTTATATTAAGTGCTTTCTTTAAGGCAATTTAGGGCCTGTTTTATAAATCTCGAATACTAGTATTTATTAGTAATTAAATACTAGATTTTAATTATTATAAAAATAAATATTTCGCACTTTTTTATATACTAGTAATTATTACTTTTATACAAATTCTAGTTTTTTTTAAAAATTATTTATAATTAGTAATTCTAAAAATACTAGCTTTTAAATATTAGCTTTTTGCTTTTTCTAATTATTTTTATAATATTTACTAAAATATAATATCTTAATTATTATATAATTTTTATTATAAATTCTTTCTTAATAAGAAAGCTATAATAAAGTAATTAATTACTTTTGCCTTAGAAAAGAAATAAATATTAGGCTATAATATCTTATAATTATAAAAAGTAATTACTAAAAAAATATAGTCCTTAAAATTTAAGATTATTAAAGATTATTTTAAGACTTTTATAATTATAATAATTATTAACTTTTTATATTTTATAATATATTTTTAAATTTTTAAATACTAGTAATTAAAAGACATATATTTATATAAAACGGGCCCTTATATAATTTCTAGATTTCCTTATTTTTTAATATAATTATATGAAATAAATATATTAACTAGTTAAATTAAAAAACTTGCTTACTCTTTAATATTACTCTTTATATTCCTATAATTCTTCTCAAACCTAATATATAAATTATTTTTATATTATATTAAGGGTATTATATTATTAAAAAAGCTCATTTATTAGAAATCTTTTAATATATAGCTATTATAAAGTAATTAATACTATTACTAGTAATAAAGTAGGTTTATAGCTAGTAGTTTTGCTATAATAAAGTTACTATATATTTCTTTATTTTCCGATTATAAATATATATAATACTATATTTGAGATAAGTAAATTATAAGAAAAGTTTTATAAAGCAGATACTAGAACCTATTATATACTTTCAGATAATCTAATAAGAGACCCCTATTTCCAGGCTTTTATATATATAGCTCTTAAGATATTTTCAGAAGTAATACTTGAATATATATTAGGTGAGTCTTAAGTATCTAGCTAATAATATAATGGGTTTGAGCTTATAGATATTATTTAATACTAGTAGTACTAGAAATAATATTTGTCTAGTATTATATATAGATTACTTTCTAGTATAATGAGTTATAAACGAGCTTGCTATTTATCTTAAATAAAAATAATATAAGACAGAGTGCCCGAGTACGGGTTATAATACTAGATAATATAAAAAAATAAAAATTATTTCTTATTAAAATATTTCTTAATAGAATCTAGAGAAGTACTAAAGAAGAACAGACTAGTATAATGCGCGTGTATTTGTTTTCTAGTAGAAAATCGCTATTATATAAGTAGTAGGGCAAATAAAGGTAGTAATACTTATAGTTATATTAATAATATAAAGTAGAGTTTAATAGCTAAATTTGATTAATAATATTACTTATACCCTCAGTGCTATTATTGGAATCTTATATAATACTAAGTTCTTGCGCATGTCCAATGCAGAACTCTGGAACTACGTCCCAATACACAAGGCAAAACATTCCCACTCGTTGGTAAACTTCTTCTTCTTCTGAGGTTTTAACAAGCAGTAACCCGTAGATAGCCTCGTGCACTACATCGACAGCCCTAAGCTGTTCATGTGGCGATGATAAAGATAGGCTACCCTTTTCTGACGGGTTTGTTTCCACTCTCGAAGCTTCTCCTTTAGACAGATCTCTTGCCTCAGATGAGCCTTGTTCATCTGGTAAATCTTCCTCCCGTAAATATCCTCTGTCTAACGAATATTCTTTCTCTCCTGAATATCCTCCGTCTGACGAATCTTCTTCCTCGGAGAAATCGTCATCTTCCAACGGCGCTTCGATTGCCAAAATTTCTTTCAACAGACAGACACAGCATAAATCATCCAGAGCAATGCCTCGCATATCCAGACTACAGTATAGCTTCTGGTCAAAATGAGTACCGTAATCCGCCTTGATGTTCATTCCCGGCTCCGCAATGATGTCCAGATCCCGATGTTGGACAAGGCAAAACAAGTTTCCATAAAGCTTAATCTCCCCGGACTTGACTTGGCCGGTAGGAGCAGATGGTATTGTGGAGGTTGCTACATCAAGAAGGATCGCCAAGTTTTCAGGCTTGGGGTATACAGTACCCTCAAGGTCTGTACGATGGGATTCCTGGGAAGTACACAAACTCACCACTCTGCCTATAACAGATGCCCAAGACCAAGTTGGTGCTATGTACGGAGCTGATGATGCTAGGACTAGATTTTCCGTTGCTGCGTGCCGCAAGGATCTGTGCCAAAGCAAGCTCCGAGGTAGCGCATGCCGCCAGTGACCGGCAAAGTACGTATTGCAGTTCAGATTGTGAATTGCAGCATAGCGATTTGCAACGCCAGAAAGTGCAATCAGTTTATCTTTGGGCTTGGTTAGATCGCAGGCCGTGTAAGAAAAGATTATAGAGTCCCAAGTGCTCTCCATTCGAGATTTATGATCTTGGCGAACTTCGGAAGGGATTGAAGGCGATACCATGCGTTTTACAGACCCAAAAGTCATCCCTATTCCCAAGGGGATAGTTTCACAGGCTTGCAAAGAATCGCATTCCCAATAGAGCTGATCCGTACCAAGATGTATGATGCGCGGCGCCAAAAGTCGCTCTTGAAAGACCCATCCACGCTTGAGTAGTGCTGAGCTGTCCAGTCTGTGATGGAAAGTCCAGTTGTCGACCAGGTTGTGTTCTTTGCTACATGTAATTTTATGTTTGTTCTTGGAATCCCACTCCAATCTGAACCTGGGGCATGAGATGGTTTCAGGGTGTCTGTAATGAAAAATGCTGTAATTGGTATCTTCTGATCCTGTAGCTGATATGTTGCAGTATGCGTGCCTGTATACTTGGTCCATTCGGTTCGATTCGCATGCCCAATCATCAGCGCTGCCCTGGCCAGACTGAATTATGCAAAGCGAGTCAATCCATAGATACCGAAGTCCAAGTTGCTTGGTGGCTAAAAGAGCATCTTGGAAGGTTTGGGGAAGACTGGATCGTATAAATCCATTCTTAAACTCTGAAAGAGTGTCTGAAGACACAGTGGTAGGGGTGCTGCCGCCCCATCTGTGGCTCAATGTCGCATATCCCCCAGCCATCAATGAATCACTAGAAACCAAAAGACGAGGTCTATCCAGGTATGCTCCTCGATCCCCAATATCAATCAGCCGGGTTGGATAACAATAGCTTGTATCACTTGCCACCAGATTCGGGCAGTTCTGATGGTTTTGTATACAGTTGCGGATCCAATAACCTATAAGCTCCCAGCATTCATTCGAATTTGTATTCCACGAACTTGGTGTATAAGTAGCCAATTCATCGATTATGTCTCTGGAGGGAAGTCTCGACACTGTAGGATACCCAGTAAGTTGCATTGCATTTCAGTTCGGTGGGGCTTCATACAATCCTCTTTGACGCTCAAATAAAAATGACCAAATGATTCTTCATGGACCTTGATCTCTAGATTGCACTCAGAAGCAGTGCTATAATCGAAGATTATGTATGATATGTCCAATTTCTTATCCCATAGGAATGAATCCTTCATTAGCAAAGCAGGATAAGCATTACCGAGGGCGGCGCCTAAAATGCGCTCACATATCGGACAGTGAATTGCCGCTGCCTCGTATAGCTTCGAGAAAGTTATAGAATAATGGGTTTGGGGCCAGTGCCATTTACCATGCTGGTAGATTAAGCTGGTGCTTCGTGGTGTTCGAAATATAGCCAAACAGGCTTCACAAAGCATTTTGATGGGTCAGAGAAGTGGCTACGTGTAGGGCTGGGGAGATGACACGATATGAGGTTGACAGGTAGCTTTTACTAGCTAGGACCATGTGGTGGTCGTTGTGAGACCCTTAATAGCGTTGTTGATACTGGTTTTAGTTGAGATACCGGTATGTTAAGAGCAATAAGAGGGTGCTCGGTGACCTAGGAGCTAAGGCTTTGCGGAGGGCCGAAGAAGCGATTACTCTTCGTCTCCTTACCTAATCGAAATTACTTGAGGCTCCGAGGTCGGTTCAACTGCATTCGACCTCCCTCCTTGCCTCCTTATAGGGCCATGTTCGTGCCGTTACGTAAGAGGCTCGCGGATTGCGTGATTATCTCTATCCCCACCCCACCCCACCTCATTTCTATCTAATCTCTGTCGCCTGAGGTTAAACTCTCTTTTACACCTGAGTAAGATACGGCCTTAAAGACCTCGGGAGAGGAGAGGAGAAAGGAAGAGGTAATCACAGGCTCGGCAAAAATACCTGAGGCATTTAATACCGGTATTAATTCTAATAATATTATTCAGGTATTACTAAGCATTGATACTATCAATACCGGAATCGATTCCTTATACCGCTTTCTACCCCGCACGCTTCAATTTTTACTCTCTTTACTTCTCTCATCTTATATCAGAATTCTATTTGGATTATACTCTCAAAATGTCTTTCTTGCATACACTAGACTCTTCCTTTATAGCTTCTGCTTTAGTAGAGCTAGAATTAACTATAACTTTCCAGAGCCGAAAATAGAGAGCCGCTATTTGAAAGCATTATTATAAACTTACTAAGAAAGAGAACCAAACTAACCTTTACTATATTTATTATATTAATTTAACGAGATTACTATATAATACTTCTATTTTAGAGAATATAAAGAAGTATATAAAATTACTATTAAATATACTTTAAATAAAAATTAAGTAATAATTGATTTGTAATTAAAGTAATATTATTATTAAGCTACTAAATTAAGTAAGTAAAAAGAGCTTAATATCGAGATCTCGAAAGCCTATCTAAATATCTTAATTATTATAAAAGCCTTAATTACTTTTATTATTATATAAATTTATTTTATACTCTTATTAAATAACTAAAGTTTTATATTTTTTACTAAATACTTAATTAAGCTATTAAGGGCAAGATTATAACTTCTTATTTAGGAATTACTAGCTTAGTTAAAAAAGCTTAAAAGTAGTACTAAAATACTATATAATAAGTTCTTTAGATTATATCTATACTTATTTATATTTTTTAAAATATTTAAATCTCTCTAAATTAATTTCTTTTACTTATAATTTATAGCTATTTTATTAAATATAATAGAAAGTAATAAAAGGCTCTTTTTACTTTAAAAAAATTCTCTAGTTATAGCTTAAAGGCTCAAATAGTAATTCTTTGGCTAGTTCTTTAAAATTATAATATTATTTATAAGCTTAAAGCTATTATAAGCAATAATGCCTTTATAAATAATATTTTTTATTAATTAGTTTAAAAGAAGTTCAAGAATAAGCTTAGCTTAAATTAAAAGGCAAATTACTAATATATTTATTATTTGAGCTATATTATTAATTTAAAGAGCCTTAATTTATATAATAAGTAAAAATAAGCTAGAGTTTTTAATTTTATAGAAGTAATAAGAACTTAATTTAAATTAAGAAATTCTTTTAGCTAAATATATAATATTATAATTTATATTTATAAATTAGCTACAAAAATAAAGAAGTTTTATATATTTATAAAAAGACTAATTTTAATAAATAATTATATAAAATAGAATAGCTAGTATTAAATATTTTATATATTATTTAATTTAAAGCCTATAATAAAAAGATATTATTAAAATTATAAAAGAAGCTTAAAAAAAATATCTTAATTTCTAAAGATTAGAAAAAGCTTTATATAATTCAGAAATTCCTTGAATTCTTTTTTCTATTTATATAATTATACTAATTTTAATAGGCCAAAAACAAAAAAAGTAAAGAAATAAAAAAAAGGAACTTTCTTTATTAAATTAAAGTAATATATAAAGTTTTAAATAATTATTATATATGAGCTAATATATTTCTAGTTTATATTATTATATTAATTTTAAATTCTTGTAATTATATAAGATATATTAAAATATATTAATTAAAGAAATAATTAAAGCCAGTTTTAGCTAAAAAATTAAAAAGCTTTAAAGGAAATATAAGAAAAGCACTATTATTATATTTATTTTACTAGCTTTTTTATATAATAGCTTATTTTATAAAATATTAAAACTTAATATATATAATTATATTACCTTATTTCTTATAATAAGAGCTCGGTTTATAAGTTAAAACAAGTTTAAGAACTATAATTTATTAAAATTATATAATTCTAATAAAAAGAGAACTCTTATATAATAATACTAGAATATATAAAAATAATATTAGTTAAAGCTCTTTTTTATAACTATTAATATACTTTTAACTTTATTAATAAATAATAAAACAAAAAGTATATTTTTAAGGAAATATTATATTATAAGCTAAAATAAGATATAATTTAAATTAGAAATAATTAAGATATAAAAGTATTTAAAGTATTAAAAGAAAAGTGAAATTTTAAATACTTTTTTTTTAAACTAGCTAAAAAGAAATTTAAAAAAAGAGCAAATATTAAAAGCTTAATATAATTTATTAAATATTATATAAAAGCCAGGTAATTAAATAATATAAAAAAGTAGTTTTATTTACTTATAATAAAAAAGAAATATATTAGCTAAATAAAGTTCAGGTCTTAAAATCCGGCTATTTTCTATTATTACTCTTTTCTTTATTATTATTAATATCTTATATATTATATTAGATTATATAACTATAATAAATATAATTATTATATACTTTATATTACTTTTCTTTAAAAACCCTTAAATATTTCTTAAAAATACCTTAAATATTTTAGTAAATAATATAAGAAATACGAATATTAACTTGACTATTATATTACTTTATATAAATTATATAAAAAAAAAAGTAAAGCACGTGCCTTTATTTTATATATATTTTAATATAAGTATAATTTTTTTAATTACTATTTTTTTAATTACTATTTATTTAATTACTATTTATTTAATTACTATTTATTTAATTATTTTATATTTTTATATTTAATAATATTCTTAAGCTTATAAGTAATATATTATATTAGATATTACTAATTCTTAGGCTTTTTTCTGGACTTTATAAAAGAGATAAAGATTAGTTCTATATTAAATTTAATACTATAATTTTATAACTTACGAATTTATTCTATTATTTTATTAACTACTAATAAATATCTTATAAGCTAATCTTTTTATTCTTAAAAAAAGTAGTTTAATAAGTAATTATATTTCGAAATCTATAAAATATATAACTTTTTATAAAAGCTATTTCTATAAAGGAAATTAACTAAATTAACTTTAATATAAGTAATAATAAAGACTTATCTAATACTTTTAACGGGGCTCTTTAGGAGCCTCTAAGAGCTAGTAATAATAATAAAAATAATCCCGGTAATAATTAAGATACCGAGATTAATACTCAAGTTACTATTACCTAAGCTATAAAATAAGGCTTATATACTAAAGTTAAAGTACTTTAATAAAAGCAAGAATTAGTAAATATAATTAATTAATATATCTTATAATTAGAATAATATAAGTATACTTTTCGGGATATCTTATAATTTACTATATTTTATAAAAACTTTATTTATAAGTTTATTTTATTTTCCTTAGTAATTCCTATTAGAGAACTTTCTAAAATAAGATTAGAACTTATCTTCTTTCCTAATATAATAAGTCTTAAAAATAATCTTAATACTATTTATCTAGAACTATTATATAATTTCCTAAAAATATATTTAAACTAAAAGAAGCTTCTTAAAATCCAAATACCTAACTTATATTATAGAAAGTTTCTTAAGAAATAGAAAATATTTATATTTTCCTAGAAAATAGTTTTTAGAATCTAATTTTAGATTTATAATAGAGACTTTTCTAGAGTTAATTTTATTATAAATGCCTTTAGAAACGAATCTTATAATACTTAGAAGGCTATAATAAAATAAATCCTATTATTATATAAGATTTATTAGAAGTAATTTAAGGCCTATTTATGTAATATATTTCAAGTATTTTAAACTTATTAGTAAAATACCTTTAAGAAACTTCGAGATCTTTATTAAAAAAATAGTAAGATAATTACTAAATTATATACTCGAATAATTAGTCTCGAAATTAACTAGAACTTATATTCTAAGAGAAATTAGATTCGGATTCTCGATATTATTTTATTTAACTATAAGATTTATTAGATATTAATATTAATATTTATTTTCTTAGGAAATAAGGTAATATCTATTTCCGAATAGCTTAAAAAGGCTCAAAAAGTAAAATATATTATTTATTCTAAATTAAGAAAAATAAAAATAAGGAAATCTAGTAAAATAACTTTATTTCTAAGAATTCTAATTTGGTAAATTCTAATTTAGTAAATTCTAATTTAGTAAATTCTAATTTATAAAGCTATTAAAAAAGAAAGAAAAAGTTCCGAAAATTATATAAGAAATCCTTAGGTAATATTTTAGCTTCTTTTAGGCTTTACTAGAATACTAGTTTTATTTTAGATATAGTTTATTAAACTTATAATTAGAAAAGACATTTTTTAGGAAATATAAAGTATTTCAAGTATAATAAATAGACTTAATAGAACTCTAATAAGACTAAAACTATAGAAAGATCAAGGTATTTATAAAAGCAAATTAATATTATTATTATAGAGAAATACTTTAAAAAAGATTCTCTTAAGAAATAAAGAAAAAAAAAGGCTAAATCTTAAATATTAATAATTTTGGCTATAATAAAAAAGATATATTACTTTATATAACTTTTTAAATAAATTAATA